CATGATTAGAGCTGATGTTGTCACACACAGAAGAAACACATCATCATCATTAGAGCTGATGTTGTCACACACAGAAGAAACACATCATCATCATTAGAGCTGATATTGTCACACACAGAAGAAACACATCATTATCAATAGAGCTGATGTTGTCACACACAGAAGAAACACATCATTATCAATAGAGCTGATGTTGTCACACACAGAAGAAACACATCATTATCATTAGAGCTGATGTTGTCACACACAGAAGAAACACATCATTATCATTAGAGCTGATGTTGTCACACACAGAAGAAACACATCATCATCATAAGAGCTGATGTTGTCACACACAGAAGAAACACATCATCATCATTAGAGCTGATGTTGTCACACACAGAAGGAACACATCATCATGATTAGAGCTGATGTTGTCACACACAGAAGAAACACATCATCATTAGAGCTGATGTTGTCACACACAGAAGAAACACATCATTATGATTAGAGCTGATGTTGTCACACACAGAAGAAACACATCATTATCATTAGAGCTGATGTTGTCACACACAGAAGAAACACATCATTATGATTAGAGCTGATGTTGTCACACACAGAAGAAACACATCATCATCATTGGAGCTGATGATGTCCCACACAGAAGAAACACATCATGATTAGAGCTGATGATGTCACACACAGAAGAAACACATCATCATCATTAGAGCTGATGATGTCACACACAGAAGAAACACATCATCATTAGAACTGATGTTGTTACACACAGAAGAAACACATCATCATCATTAGAGCTGATGATGTCACACACAGGAGAAACACATCATGATTAGAGCTGATGATGTCACACACAGAAGAAACACATCATCATCATTAGAGCTGATGATGTCACACACAGAAGAAACACATCATGATTAGAGCTGATGATGTCACACACAGAAGGAACACATCATCATCATTAGAGCTGATGATGTCACACACATTCAACCCTACTTTATGGTACAGACAACTGGACCATCAGCAAGCAACTAGAGAAACACATTATGGAGATGTGGATACAGGCTTATCAGAGACAGAGGCCAGAAGGGGAGAGTATGTCCTTTACATCTTTTTTGATTCCCTCTCTAGGTCCCTTTTCTGTGTTTTTCATCTGCTTTCATTTCTATAACCCTGTGGCTTCCAGCATACAGACATTCTAAGTATACTTTTTTCAGGTGGAGCTGATATAGAGGCACCAAAGATCAACAGTGACTTGGATGGGTTGAGTTTGATATAGTGGCAGAGATCATCAGAGGGTGGGCGGGGAAGATCAAGGACACACAGGACTGATGTCTGTGGTGGCAGGGATCACCTACGACAGATTGTGCAGAGACATGATCACTTACAACAGTCAGATTGTGCAGAACATGATCACCTATGACAGTCAGATTGGGCAGAGACATGATCACCTATGACAGATTGTGCAGAGACATGATCACCTACAACAGATTGTGCAGAGACATGATCACCTACGACAGACAGATTGTGCTGAGACATGATCACCTATGACAGACAGATTGTGCAGAGACATGATCACCTACGACAGACAGTTTGTGCAGAGACATGATCACCTACAACAGATTGTGCAGAGACATGATCACCTACGACAGACAGATTGTGCTGAGACATGATCACCTATGACAGACAGATTGTGCAGAGACATGATCACCTACGACAGACAGTTTGTGCAGAGACATGATCACCTACAACAGATTGTTTGTGCAGAGACATGATCACCTACAACAGATTGTAAAGAGACATGATCACCTATGACAGATTGTGCAGAGACATGATCACCTATGACAGACAGATTGTGCAGAGACATGATCACCTATGACAGTCAGATTGTGCAGAGACATGATCACCTACGACAGACAGATTGTGCAGAGACATGATCACCTACGACAGACAGATTGTGCAGAGACATGATCACCTACGACAGACAGATTGTGCAGAGACATGATCACCTACGACAGACAGATTGTGCAGAGACATGATCACCTACGACAGACAGATTGTGCAGAGACATGATCACCTACAACAGATTGTGCAGAGACATGATCACCTACGACAGACAGATTGTGCAGAGACATGATCACCTACGACAGATTGTGCAGAGACATTATCACCTATGACAGACAGATTGTGCAGAGACATTATCACCTACGACAGACAGATTGTGCAGAGACATGATCACCTACAACAGATTGTGCAGAGACATGATCACCTACGACAGACAGATTGTGCAAAGACATGATCACCTACGACAGATTGTGCAGAGACATTATCACCTATGACAGACAGATTGTGCAGAGACATGATCACCTATGACAGACAGATTGTGCAGTGTCGCGCGCCCACGTGGGTAAATACACTGATATAGTGAGGGTGTGGGTTTGAACCTTAACAATGCCCACCCACGTGAGAAACTGGACTATTATCTAAGCTATGTTGATCCTAGACAGTCCTGGATAGCCAAGAAAACAGCGAGTGGCTCGTTCCATAAAATGAAAGTTGCTGTACTTGTATCCACAGGAGAAGGAGAAGGGATAGATAGATATCTGGATACACCCACTGTGATATAATCCAGGTGCTCAGTTAACCCCTGCGACTGGTCTCCTCTTCTGGCATTGCAAAAAAATCCCCCATCAAGTGATTTAAATATTTGTTAGCTGAAGTAAACTAATATGCACAAAGATACTTGAACCTAAGTACACAATTTACTCAACTATGTTTAAACATCAAAAAGATTTATTTAATAAATCTGACTAAAATAAAATGAACTTGTTTAGGCTAGTAGAGTTTAGGTTATGTGAATGATGAGATCATAAAGGTATTGGAAAGTAACAACCTTTGGACAGTTCTCGGCTTGAGACCCTGCCTATCTTTTCCAGTTTGTCGTCCTCACTGCTTTCTGCAGGTCGTTACACTCGACGGTCGGCAAATAATGGATGCCTACTAGTCCCTGCCCAATGTGGGAACTGGAGAATGAAGAAACAAGCGCATATTTGTAGTATCTGCTCTAGATGTACACTAAGCATGTATATTATACTAACATCAAGCATGTTTATTTAAATAAACATTTCATCTCTCCCTCATGCTCACATTCACTCCTGTCCAATTTGGAAGGGCTTATGTCTCACATTCCAACTGTTACATCTTCTGCCTTCCTCTACACGTCCTGTAATGATAGTCAAGTCTTCTACGTCAGGTGCCATCTCTCGTACAGACTCAAAATGACAATCAGTCAGACAGAACCAGTTCTGGAATCTATGCTTGGAACAATCGACGCGCCCAGAAAGCTAACAATATTTCTGAGGCGAATCGAATAAGAAATCTCGTGGATTTACTCTCCGGGATCAATCTCCGCGTTAGCCTCCCTAGAGTTAAACACATTTCAGTGTGTTAGCTGTATGTAATACAGATTCACATTAACCACACGTGAAAAGATTGCCAAAGTTATCTTCACGCTTGTGATTTCAAAAACATGATAGTTCATTAAATTTCAATGGCAACAACAACATTTAGGTTTTACAACATTGAAACACATGTACACGAAAAACATTCATGACACTATCAAATAGGAAATAAAGCAATGTGACAGTGCCCTACGAGAATGAAGAAATGTCCGCCTAGGAGTATTACAAAGTGATGAAGACACACACTTGAGCAAAAAGACAGATCTCTATTATAAAATATAGATTTGAACCTAATTTCGATCTTACCTGGAAAAATGAAACCACAATGCCAAAAGTTCTGTCTCAAGCTTAGGTTAAGCCCAACAGATGGCATGTGCTGGACAGGATCTCATTTACCAGACCTAGAGTTCAGCCCTTTATAACTTTTATCAAGCTCCTCCTACATTTCGCCTAAAATCATTCTCATTCAAGGATATCATAGCTCCTCCCTGTTGGTAAGTTTATTCGCTGTCAGTCAGTGACTGTACAACAATTGTTTGAATTCCCACGCTAGGATCTCCTGGTCAATTCATCTGACCAGAGCAAATAAGACAAGTCACACCTCTAGTCTACTTCACCTGTCATCACAATAAAATCCGACTTTGTCAATTCTTCTGCCAACACTTTCCGCTCACTATGTCAGTAGTGACCGTCGGACCTGCCGTCGAGTTAGGTAACCTCAGGGGGAGATAATGGCAATTAGCCCTTGTTATCTGTTCCTGAAGATCTGGCAGGGGGAATAACTATCTGACACCACAAATGGTGTGCAAATCTCCAGTCAGTAAGTCTGCTTGGTCAGTCTTATCTCTGTACCTCAACACTTAACATCTGGGAAAAAGTTTTAGTGTTTGATATGACCAACGGTCCAGGAGAATTAAAGGTGTGATGTGGTCATCCTATTTAGATTAAGGATGTATCCAAATCCCTATTTGTCTGTATACTTCAAAATACACACAAATAAAAGTAGGTTGAGGAAAGACATTCTGGAGTCACCGCGCGTATTGTCACATGCAGAGACATGATCACCTACAACAGATTGTGCAGAGACATGATCACCTACGGCAGATTGTGCAGGGACATGATCACCTACGACAGATTGTGCAGAGACATGATCACCTATGACAGATTGTGCAGAGACATGATCACCTACGACGGATTGTGCAGAGACATGATCACCTACGACAGATTGTGCAGAGACATGATCACCTATAACAGATTGTGGAGAGACATGATCACCTACGACAGACAGATTGTGCAGAGACATGATCACCTACGACAGTCAGATTGTGCAGAGACATGATCACCTACAACAGATTGTGCAGAGACATGATCACTTACGACAGATTGTGCAGAGACATGATCATCTACGACAGTCAGATTGTGCAGAGACATGATCACCTACGACAGTCAGATTGTGCAGAGACATGATCACCTACGACAGATTGTGCAGAGACATGACCTCCTACAACAGACAGATTAGCAGTCAATGATGTAGTAATTTACCTGGTTAAAGTTACAATCTCCAATTCTGTTCATCTCTGAGATTGGGTTAAAGTCAGATCTGGCTGGGGGAGGGCTCAGTTCCAGTCGGAATGCAGACTCCATCTGCTGCTCATGGCTGCTGCAGACAGGAGGCTGCACATCCATTTGGTCTAGCAACCACTGACCATTGTTTCTCACCAGGTTGCACACACAGGTCATGTCACGGTAACCTGTTGTAGGACATGCGCAGGACATTCTGTAGACTGACATCAAAGCTAGTACAGGGAAAATCATGGAGCAGATAAATACATAAACACACATCTGGCACAGGACATTCTGTAGACTGACATCAAAGCTAGTACAGGGAAAATCATGGAGCAGATAAACACATAAACACACATCTGGCACAGGACATGACACTAGGCTCTCAACCAGAATACAGCAGTGTGGCAGAAAACATGAGCACTCTCTAACACACACCTGGCACTAGGGCATCAACTGTGGCTCTTGCCAACACAACACACCTGGCACTAGGACAACAACTGTGGCTCTTGCCAACACAACACACCTGGCACTAGGACAACAACTGTCGATCTTGCCAACATAACACACCTGGCACTTGGACAACAACTGTCGATCTTGCCCACACAACACACCTGGCACTAGGACAACAACTGTCACTCTTGCCAACACAACACACCGGGCACTAGGACAACAACTGTCACTCTTGCCAACATAACACACCTGGCACTAGGACAACAACTGTCACTCTTGCCAACACAACACACCTGGCACTAGGACAACAACTGTGGCTCTTGCCAACATAACACACCTGGTACTAGGGCATCAACTGTCGCTCTTGCCAACACAACACACCTGGTACTAAGATATCAACTGTGGCTCCTTCCTCCACAACACACCTGGCACTAAGATATCAACTGTGGCTCCCTCCCCAAAACCACACCTGGCCCTAAGATATCAACAGTGGCTCCCTCCAACACACCACACCTGGCACTAAGATATCAAATGTGGCTGCCTCCATCACACCACATCTGGCACTAAAATATCAAATGTGGCTCCCTCAGACACAACATACCTAGCACTAAGATATCAACTGTGGCTCCCTCCAACACACCACACCTGGCACTAAGATATCAACAGTGGCTCCCTCCCACACACCACACCTGGCACTAAGATATCAAATTTGGCTCCCTCCAACACAACACACCTGGCACTAAGATATCAACTGTGGCTCCCTCCCACACACCACACCTGGCACTAAGATATCAAATTTGGCTCCCTCCAACACAACACACCTGGCACTAAGATATCAACTGTGGCTCCCTCCCACACAACACACCTGGCACTAAGATATCAACAGTGGCTTCCTCCCACACACCACACCTGGCACTAAGATATCAAATTTGGCTCCCTCCAACACACCACACCTGGCACTAAGATATCAACAGTGGCTCCCTCCCACACACCACACCTGGCACTAAGATATCAAATTTGGCTCCCTCCAACACAACACACCTGGCACTAAGATATCAACTGTGGCTCCCTCCCACACAACACACCTGGCACTAAGATATCAACTGTGGCTCCCTCCCACACACCACACCTGTCACTAAGATATCAACAGTGGCTCCCTACAACACACCACACCAAGCACTAAGATATCAACAGTGGCTCCCTCCCACACACCACACCTGGCACTAAGATATCAACAGTGGCTCCCTCCCACATACCACACCTGGCACTAAGATATCAACAGTGGCGCCCTCTCACACACCACACCTGGCACTAAGATATCAACTCTGGCTCCCTCCAACACAACACACCGGGCACTAAAATATCAACTGTGGCTCCCTGAATGCTCTGCTGCAAGGGGTAGGGATAAGACAATTCTACGACAGACAGCCAAGACCAGACATCTCAGCTCCAGAATGAAAACAACCTGCATCAGGTGAACACTTCATTCCTGCCTAGAATCAGCTCCCTGGATCCTGTACATTTACGTTTGTGAATCCGTCTTTATTCTTGCCATTTTCTCATGAAGTTTACCGGTCGTAAGTCAGTTTTATATTATAATTACCTGAATAAACACATCAACAAACTGTAGACTAAGGTTTACAGTATATTTACCTGAATAACACATCAACATAACTGTGTCTGTGTGACTCTCTCTCTCTTCGTTTTCCTTTTTCCCTTGCACTGAGATCAGTAGTCTTTTTGTGTGTTAATTTAGTTTTGGATATCAGCTATTATAGACCTCACAAACAAGGCTAAACATAGCCAACACTGAAACAATTGATTAGTGCACTATCTAATGTGCTAGACTGCTTAAACTCACCAGGGCATTTCCTACAAGGAAATTTCAGCCTTTAAACCTTTGGTGACGAGGTGGCCAAAATATTGGCTCAACACAAAGTAGCCAAAATGACAACTGGGCCGATCGGTCGTCCCTATATAATAGAAGCCTTGATATTGGCTTGTAGGTTTTTGTACCAGCCAATCAGACTACTTCTCGCATTTCTAGCGCATCTAGACTGTTCATTGATGGCTTTCCAGAAAGTTTGATGTGTTCTGTAATTTTACATCAATGTTTGTCTGGGGTGACCTGTGGCCAACTATAGAGAAAAGGACTGTTGTATCATAGCTACCAAAACATAGCTGGAGGCAGGACGATGAGTAGAACCATGTGCCAGACGTATCTGCAGGATCTCACTTCCCAGAATACAGGTGTTAGGACTTATTCAAGCTTCATCCATAACAAAATTCACCCACCTTTTTCAGGTTAGTTATGTTTGTTCCCATTTAAAAAAAAAAAAATTGCTTGCATAAATTATGCAAATCAGAATAGTTAATTTGAACAAATTTTGAAATTTCAGTTTGATTCATAAATATTCAGTTATTTCATTTTTTCCGACACAAATATATATAGTTTTGTAAATGTTAATTAAACGCTTTAATTTTTATAATTTGTTGTGTATAAACTATGAGAATCCCCTCACGAAGGCTGCGTCTTCTTGGCACCGAAACTCCAAAAAGGGCTCTGTCTCCAAAGGGTTAACTCTTGCTTTTCCAACAAAAGAGTGTGAAAATCTCTGGAGAATCATGTGTCCTCTCAAACAGGTTATATCTCTCTTCGTGGTCTTAACGTTCAACATAGATTCATCTAATCATTGTTCAACTGCCCTGACCTCTTGAACTGCCACTGATTCTAGTTCTCTGGACACTCGCCCTACACTGTGTGTCCATGATGGCCCAGCAAAGGCATGTTCCAGCAAAGCTTTGTTTTCTTCAAGTGTTAATGGGGGTATTTCTGTAAAGCTAAGTTGTTACACATAGCCCGGTATAAAGTTTTATCATTGTCAATTCAATATATGCAGTTAAAGCCAAGTGTTATATACAGTTCTATTTGTGTGATGATACTGTTTTGGGAAGTTGTTTTTCCTTTTAAGTAATGCTACTCTGTGAGATGCTCCAAAAAGTCCTCTTATAACAAGTTCTTCTTCATCTTCTTCCAGTCGTTCTGATTTTTAGCTTAGATTTTGAAGCAATATCACGTCGGACTTTTGTTTCTGCTAAATACTGGCATCTACAGCCTTGAAAACTGCATGTAACCATGTTTAAACCATTTCATCAGTTGTCTCTCGATGAAGTTTACTAATGATTCTGTTCCAACTTCTTGTTTGATATAACAATGTTTGATTCTGTCTCTTCAAGTCACATTTAGGATTCATTGTAGACATTTGATTTCTATTGTTTCAAGGTTAATGTCCATGTCTGGCAAAGACTGAACTAATTAGTGCTCTTTTGTCAGGTAGATATGCCATTAATATTTCATGTCTACACTACTGAATTATTTTGGACTGAAGGAGCTGGGAAAGGCAAGTGCACAATCTACAACATAAAGATGTCCCCTCAGATATCCCAAGCCCTGGGTGATCATCACCTACCTGTAGGAGAAGTCATGATGTCTGTGGCCAGTAGCGAGAAGATATGATCTGTGAAAATGGGACATGCAGTTTCTGAAACATCCGTACTTGCCAGGGAATGGAAGCTGCAATTGTAAAATTGACATTATCAGAAGAGTTCCGTTGAGTAAAACTGACACTCTCCGTTGAGTAAAACTGACACTTAGTTCAGTCAAACTGACACTCTCCGTTCAGTAAAACTGACACTCTCAGTTCAGTCAAACTGACACTCCCTGTTGAGTAAAACTGACATTCTTAGTTCAGTCAAACTGACACTCTCCGTTGAGTAAAACTGACATTCTTAGTTTAGTCAAACTTATATTCTTAGTTCAGTCAAACTGACACTCTCAGTTCAGTGAAACTGACAGTCTCCATTGAGTAAAACTTACATTCTTAGTTCAGTGAAACTTACACTCTCAGTTCAGTCAAACTGACACTCTCCGTTGAGTAAAACTGGCACTCTCCATTGAGTAAAACTGGCGCTTTCCATTGAGTAAAACTGGCACTCTCCACTGAGTAAAACTGGCACTCTCCGTTGAGTAAAACTGGCAATCTGCGTTTAGTAAAACTGACACTCACTGCTAAGTAAAACTGGCACTCTCCGTTTAGTAAAACTGACACTCTCCGTTGAGTAAAAGTGACACTCTCCATTTAGTAAAACTGACACTCTCTGTTGAGTAAAATTGACACTCTCCATTGAGTAAAACTGACACTCTCTGTAGAGTAAAACTGACACTCTCCGTTGAGTAAAACTGACACTCTCTGTTAAGTAAAACTGACACTAAAACTGACACTCTCTGTTGAGTAAAACTGACACTCCTAATTGATTAAAACTGACACTCTCTGCTAAGTAAAACTTACACTCAAACTGACACTCTCTGTTGAGTAAAGCTGACACTCCTAATTGATTAAAACTGACACTCTCCGTTGAGTAAAACTGACATTCCCCATTGCCACCATATCAGTGAAAACTACAGCTAGGACCAGCAGGTCCATGTCATGGCAACTATCCAGGCAAGAAAGAAATTGCGGCTGTAGATTACAGCAAAGTTGACTGAGCATCAAACATGGCCACCCTAGACATCAACAAACAAACCAACAAAAATGGCAGTGAGCTCACTAGACAGGAATGGCAGAAAGCTCACTAGACAGGAATGACAGAAAGCTGACTAGACAGGAATGACAGAAAGCTGACTAGATGAATAGCAGAAAGCTCACTAGACAGGAATGGCAGAAAGCTCACTAGACAGGAATGGCAGAAAGCTCACAAGATAGGAATAGCAGAAAGCTCACTAGACAGGAATGGCAGAAAGCAATGGTTATTATTTCATTCCTCATTCAGCTGATTGTACAGATGACACAATGGTTATTATTTCATTCCTCATCCAGCTGATGGAACGGAGGACACAATGGTTATTTTTTCATTCCTCATCCAGCTGATTGTACGGATGACACAATGATTATTATTTCATTCCTCATTCAGCTGATGGGACGGATGACACAATGCTTATTATTTCATTCCTCATTCAGCTGATTGTACGGATGACACAACGGTTGCTCTGGGGTCTTGAGTGCCTGTTAGCCCCTTCCCAGTGCTGTAGTGTTTACAGTCACATTTATACATGTATATGCTGTGTGTGTTTGTCTTTAATGAATATGTGTATACTTACGTGTGTTGTTGCGATATACAGGAGTTTTTGGGTGTTATAAGTAAGTTCATGGATAAGTTTAGTTCAGTCAAGAATTGACATCACAGGGGCATTCCCATGCATGCTCCGTCCCCATCTTCAGCAGCCAGCACAGAGTTCCAATACCGATGGCACCGGTCACAATCCATTTCGCCTTTCCTCTGGTGCCTCATTCTCTCCAGGCCAGAATAACCTTCTTTCTCTACTGATTCCGTTGCTTGTTACTAAAGGGCCTTGACCTCATCTGCCTTGTGTTCATGGGATATGCATACGTATGAGTGTGTTTATCTGTACTTGTGTGTATGTATATGTGTGTGTAATGGTATATAGATGTGTGAGTGTGTATGTATTTCTGAGCAATATGTTTTTATGCATGTTTATGCTGAAAAATGTTTATGTAAATGAGTGTGGATGTAGGTCTGCATGTATGTCTGATATGTGGGGTGGGAGGTTTTAAGTTTTTGTGTGTAAGTATGAGTCTCTCTCTCTCTCTCTCTCTCTCTCGTGTGTGTATGCATGCATGTATGATATGTTGGAGGTTTTAAGTTTTTGTGTGTAAGTATGAGTCTCTCTCTCTCTCTCTCTCTCGTGTGTGCGTGTGTGTGTGTGCATAAGAGAGAGAGAGAGACAGAGAGAGAGAGAGCACCTCAGTGGCTAGGTACTCCAGCACCTCAGTGGCTAGGTACTCCAGCACCTCAGTGGCTAGGTACTCCAGCACCTCAGTGGCTAGGTACTCCAGCACAGCAACCAGGTACACAGGTGCGCCAGCACCAAAATGCCCTGCATGTGTTCATGGCATCAATGGCATCACTTTAAACTGTGGAAATGTGTGTTCACAGCATTAATTGTGCAACTCATAAACCATGGAAAAAAGTGTTGATCACATACTCATCTAAGACAAAGGAAGCAATGCTCAGAAAGCGTAAGTTCAACCAGTCCTTGTTTGTCTTGAAGAACTTTGCAGCAAATTTGGTGCTACCAGCATCTGAAAAAGAAAATGTCAGGCAAAGATTAGTGGTCATGTGCATGTTTGTAATGACTTCTTGCAATTATATATTTCTGTAATGATCACAATTTTAGATTTTAGAACAGTTTTTGTGATGAAATAAACTTCACCATCATTGATCTGAATGTGAATGTAATACCATAATGACATTAATTTTTTCTGCTGAAAGATGAAGAGAAGGGGGAGAAGGAGGAAAAGAAAAAAACGAGAAAAAGAAGGAAGAGGAGAGAAGGAGAGGAAGAAGAAGAGGTGTTCAAGAAAAAGAGCAAGAAAAAGATGACAAGAAATCAGAGGAAAAAGAAGACGATTATGAGGAAACAAGAAGAAGACTAGACAGCAGAGATATTTGAAAGACATGATCACTTGTCTGACAGTGTGCAAGCTGCCAGCCTTACAGTCATGCAGTCATTATCTGCTACATGATAGCCGTCAGACTGTTGATCACATTCTACGCTAGCCGGTAGTCTGTGTATTTTTATGTCTCATGTCACTTCTTCCTGTAACAAAACAAAACACCAGACCCAGACAGACACCCAGACAGACACACATACAGTCACCCAGACAGACACCCAGACAGACACACAGACAGACACACAGATGTTTCACCTTTGCCATGCACCATTACATGGAACACACTGTCTGCAACCGTGGCAATATGGCTTCGAACCTGGGAACTCAAGATATTGCCCAGTTTATCGACGCCAGCTGAGAACTGCTGCAGCCTGAACCAAGTTGCCCAGGCCATTATCTGGTGATGATCAAACAAATCTTTCTTTAGTGGACAAATACATCGAGCATCATATGCCAATGTAGCTATGCTGTGACAAAGATTCTTGACATCTGTTGATTAGTCCAGAAATAAAACTGAAGACACCTAGACTGACTGAGCCCTAGCTAAAACCAACAGAGAAAACATAAACTGCAAGAGTCAAAACTATGTGGTTACAAATTAATGTTGCTAGTGTGGCCAATATCAGATGTACAAAGCACCAGTCCACAGAGATTCCAGTACTCCGTGTTATAACAAGACGACCCATGGTAAACTGATTGGCTAACACTAAACTGTCATGGCTGCTACTCTAACCACATCACTCAGACACAAGTCTGCCCATGAATGATCTGCCCATGATAGGTTCAGATCAGGGTTTCCCAAACTTGTTATTGCCTCTGCCCCTTTTCAATAACAACAATTCACTCCCCGCCTTTCCCCCCCCCCCCCCCCCACACACACACACACATCTCCCTGCAAAAATCATCATCATCAGCCTGTGTTGTGTCAATAATTATATGTGATCCTGATACACCACCCTGCACAATCAGCAGTATCACTGATCAGGTCAGAGCTCTTGTCCGGCCCCATGATTATGGCCAAACCATCACAGTATTTATCTCTCCTGCCCCCTCTTCTTCATCAGATTTGCTGTTTGTCAAACAGAAGCATGCAGTGACAAATGGACTGACAACAGTTAGTCATGTCGACCGAGACAAGGACTAGGTACTTGTAGACTGCCACAAGAGACCACCTCTCTCACTCTACTAATTGACTGACTGTCTATTTCCCCTCTAGCCAATTGTTAGTTAGTACAGTAAGACTCTTTTTCAAAAATACACAACATTGTAAGCAACTTCTACTTGAAGAATGTCCTGCACAGACCATCCTTCCACACGGTGTAGACAAGTATGGCAAAGGTGTGGACAAGTATGACAAAGGTGTTGACAGGTATGACAAAGGTGTAGACAAGTATGACAAAGGTGTAGACAGGTATGACAAAGGTGTGGACAAGTATGACAAAGGTGTAGACAGGTATGACAAAGGTGTAGACAAGTATGACAAAGGTGTAGACAAGTATGACAAAGGTGTGGACAAGTATGACAAAGGTGTAGACAAGTATGGCAAAGGTGTAGACAAGTATGACAAAGGTGTGGACAGGTATGACAAAGGTGTGGACAGGTATGACAAAGGTGTGGACAGGTATGACAAAGGTGTAGACAGGTATGACAAAGGTGTAGACAGGTATGACAAAGGTGTAGACAGGTATGACAAAGGTGTAGACAGGTATGACAAAGGTGTAGACAAGTATGACAAACGTGTGGACAGGTATGACAAAGGTGTGGACAGGTATGACAAAGGTGTGGACAGGTATGACAAAGGTGTGGACAGGTATGGCAAAGGTGTGGACAGGTATGACAAAGGTGTGGACAGGTATGGGACAGGTGTGGACAGGTATGACAAAGGTGTGGACAGGTGTGGGACAGGTGTGGACAGGTATGACAAAGGTGTGGACAGGTATGACAAAGGTGTGGACAGGTATGGCAAAGGTGTGGACAAGTATGGCAAAGGTGTGGACAAGTATGGCAAAGGTGTGGACAGGTATGGCAAAGGTGTGGACAAGTATGGCAAAGGTATGGACAGGTATGACAAAGGTGTGGACAGGTATGACAAAGGTGTAGACAGGTGTGGGACAGGTGTGGACAAGTATGGCAAAGGTGTGGACAGGTATGACAAAGGTGTGGACAGGTGTGGGACAGGTGTGGACAGGTATGACAAAGGTGTGGACAGGTATGACAAAGGTGTAGACAGGTATGACAAAGGTGTGGACAAGTATGGCAAAGGTGTAGACAAGTATGGCAAAGGTGTAGACAAGTATGACAAACGTGTGGACAGGTATGACAAAGGTGTGGACAGGTATGACAAAGGTGTGGACAGGTATGACAAAGGTGTGGACAGGTATGGCAAAGGTGTGGACAGGTATGACAAAGGTGTGGACAGGTATGGGACAGGTGTGGACAGGTATGACAAAGGTGTGGACAGGTGTGGGACAGGTGTGGACAGGTATGACAAAGGTGTAGACAGGTATGACAAAGGTGTGGACAGGTATGGGACAGGTGTGGACAGGTATGACAAAGGTGTGGACAGGTATGGCAAAGGTGTGGACAAGTATGGCAAAGGTGTGGACAGGTATGGCAAAGGTGTGGACAAGTATGGCAAAGGTGTGGACAGGTATGACAAAGGTGTGGACAGGTATGACAAAGGTGTAGACAGGTATGACAAAGGTGTGGACAAGTATGGCAAAGGTGTGGACAGGTATGACAAAGGTGTGGACAGGTATGACAAAGGTGTGGACAGGTATGACAAAGGTGTGGACAGGTATGACAAAGGTGTGGACAGGTGTGACAAAGGTGTGGACAGGTATGGGACAGGTGTGGACAGGTATGGGACAGGTGTGGACAGGTATGGCAAAGGTGTGGACAGGTATGGGACAGGTGTGGACAGGTGTGACAAAGGTGTGGACAGGTATGGCAAAGGTGTGGACAGGTATGACAGGTATGGCAAAGGTGTGGACAGGTGTGACAAAGGTGTGGACAGGTATAGCAAAGGTGTGGACAGGTATGGCAAAGTAATTATTAAAACAATAACCACGAATGAGAAGTGAGGTCATGTTAACAAGAAGGAATAATCTGACTAGACAAAGCTGATAATTCTTGATTTGTTTGGCAAGGTAAAAAATCATTGTCAATTTAATTTGCTACACAACAGTGAATCAGGCATGAAACAGTGAAACAGTCATGAATCACTGAAACAGTCATGGATCAGTGAAACAGGAATGGATCAGTGAAACAGGCATGGATCAGTGAAACAGGCACAAAACAGTGAAACAGGCATGAAACAGTGAAACAGGCAGGAAACAGTGAAACAGGCGTGGATCAGTGAAACAGGCACAAAACAGTGAAATAGGCATGAAACAGTGAAACAGGCATGGATCAGTGAAACAGGCATGGATCAGTGAAACAGGCATGGATCAGTGAAACAGGCAGAAAACAGTGAAACAAGCATGGATCAGTGAAACAGGTATGGATCAGTGAAACAGGCATGGATCAGTGAAACAGGCATGGATCAGTGAAACAGTCATGGATCAGTGGAACAGTCATGGATCAGTGAAACAGGCATGGATCAGTGAGACAGGCATGGATCAGTGAAACAGTCATGGACCAGTGAAACAGACATGGATCAGTGAAACAGACATGGATCAGTGAAACAGACATGGATCAGTGAAACAGTCATGGATCAGTGAAACAGTCATGGATCAGTGAAACAGGCACAAAACAGTGAAACATGCATGAAACAGTGAAACAGGCATGAAACAGTGAATCAGGCATGGATCAGTGAAACAGGCATGGATCAGTGAAACAGGCAGGAAACAGTGAAACAGGCGTGGATCAGTGAAACAGGCACAAAACAGTGAAATAGGCATGAAACAGTGAAACAGGCATGGATCAGTGAGACAGGCATGGATCAGTGAAACAGTCATGGATCAGTGAAACAGACATGGATCAGTGAAACAGACATGGATCAGTGAAACAGTCATGGATCAGTGGAACAGTCATGAATCAGTGAAACAGGCATGGATCAGTGAAACAGGCACAAAACAGTGAAACAGGCTTGAAACAGTGAAACAGGCATGAAACAGTGAAACAGGCATGGATCAGTGAAACAGGCATGGATCAGTGAAACAGGCATGGATCAGTAAAACAGGCATGAATCAGTGAAACAGGCATGGATCAGTGAAACAGGCATGGATCAGTGAAATAGGCATAGATCAGTGAAACAGGCACAAAACAGTGAAACAGGCATGAAACAGTTAATCAGGCATGAAACAGGCATGAAACAGGCATGGATCAGTGAAACAGGCACAAAACAGTGAAATAGGCATGAAACAGTGAAACAGGCATGGATCAGTGAGACAGGCATGAAACAGTGAAACAGGCATGGATCAGTGAAACAGGCATGGATCAGTGAAACAGGCATGAAACAGTGAAACAGGCATGAAACAGTGAAACAGGCATGAAACAGTGAAACCGGCATGAAACAGTAAAACAGGCATGGATCAGTGAAACAGGCATGGATCAGTGAAACAGGCATGGATCAGTGAAACAGGCATGGATCAGAGAAACCGGCATGGATCAGTGAAACAGGCATGGATTAGTGAAACAGGCAAGGATCAGTGAAACAGGCATGGATCAGTGAAACAGGCACAAAACAGTGAAAGAGGCATGGATCAGTGAAACAGGTATGGATCAGTGAAACAGGCATGGATCAGTGAAACATGCATGGATCAGTGAAACAGGCATGGATCAGTGAAACAGTCATGGATCAGTGAAACAGGCATGGATCAGTGAAACAGGCATGGATCAGTGAAACAGGCATGAAACAGTGAAACAGGCTTGAAACAGTGAAACAGGCATGAAACAGTGAAACAGGCATGAAACAGCAAAACAGGCATGAAACAGTGAAACATGCATGAAACAGTTAATCAGGCATGAAACAGTGAAACAGGCATGAAACAGTGAAACAGTTAATCAGGCATGAAACAGTGAAACAGGCATGGATCAGTAAAACAGGCATGAAACAGTGAAACAGGTATGAAAGGTTCATCAATTTGTTGTTGTCCTTTCTCTAATTTTTCCTTTTCTTGACCAGCCCTTTATGTTTCATCTTTGCCCTTAGCTGCCCTCGAAGCCTGTACTGCCCCCCCTCCCCCTCCCAATTCCCCAAGCTGTCACAGCACCCCTAAATTTGACAGAGACCGCCGTCAGCCCTCCATCCCCTGGACTGCCCAAGTGCCTCCCAGGGGGCGGTAGCATACACTTTTGGAATCACTGGTTTAGATAGTCAGACAAATACAGCACAAGCAACTGATCTGCACTGACTGTAGTGCTTGATGGTGTCTAGACCTGTGTGAGGTAGACAGTTCTCATCAACGGAAGAGGAAACACCAGGAGAAGGTGCTGTAGTGTGTGATGGTGTCTAGACCTGTGTGAGGAAGACAGTTCTCATCAACAGAAGAGGAAACACCAGGAGAAGGTGCTGTAGTGTGTGATAGTGTGTGGTTCCTTACCTGAAGAGCAACACAGTTGTGACTTGTCTTGATGTTCTGCTGCTCACACCTGGTGTTGATGGCACTGAACAGGCAGCACAACGACGTAGGCAACATGACCACACACTTCTCTAGCTCCAGGACCACCAGCTGGACACACTTGGCCAGCATCTCTTTCAGACCTGTCCAGACAAACATGTCAAAGGTCAGTCCAGCCCCACACAACAGTGTGGACACATACATGTAACATGACAGCATCAGTCCAGCCCCACACAACAGTGTGAACACATACATGTAACATGACAGCATCAGTACAGCCCCACACAACAGTGTGAACACATACATGTAACATGACAGCATCAGTACAGCCCCACACAAAGTGTGAACACATACATGTAACATTACAGCATCAGTACAGCCCCACATAACAGTGTGGACACATACATGTAACATGACAGCATCAGTCCAGCCCCACACAAAGTGTGAACACATACATGTAACATGACAGCATCAGTACAGCCCCACACAAAGTGTGAACACATACATGTAACATGACAGCATCAGTACAGCCCCACACAACAGTGTGGACACATACATGTAACATGACAGCATCAGTACAGCCCCACATAACAGTGTGGACACATACATATAACATGACAGCATCAGTACAGCCCCACATAACAGTGTGGACACATACATATAACATGACAGCATCAGTACAGCTCCCACATAACAGTGTGGACACATACATATAACATGACAGCATCAGTACAGCCCCACACAACAGTGTGGACACATACATATAACATGACAGCATCAGTCCAGCCCCACACAAAGTGTGAACACATACATGTAACATGACAGCATCAGTACAGCCCCACACAACAGTGTGGACACATACATGTAACATGACAGCATCAGTACAGCCCCACACAACAGTGTGGACACATACATGTAACATGACAGCATCAATACAGCCTAGTATACAAGCATATACACAAACTGTCTGTAGTCAGGTTATGCAGAGACAGAGTACACATGGTACTTCTATCTGTACAGGTGGGGGATAATCAAATTATGCACACAACTGCTTATGTCCTAACACTTGAATCATGTCCCAACTGCTTATGTCCTAACACCTGTATCATGTCCCAACTGCTTATGTCCTAACACCTGTATCATGCCCTAACTGCTTATGTCCTAACAACTGTATCATGTCCCAACTAATTATGTCCCAACAACTGTATCATGTCCCAACTAATTATGTCCCAACAACTGTATCATGTCCCAATTGCTTATGTCCTAACAACTGTATCATGTCCCAACTAATTATGTCCCAACAACTGTATCATGTCCCAACTAATTATGTCCTAACACTTGAATCATGTCCCAACTGCTTATGTCCTAACACTTGAATCATGTCCCAACTGCTTATGTCCTAACACCTGTATCATGTCCCAACTGCTTATGTCCTAACACCTGTATCATGCCCTAACTGCTCATGTCCTAACACCTGTATCATGCCCTAACTGCTTATGTCCTAACAACTGTATCATGTCCCAACTAATTATGTCCCAACAACTGTATCATGTCCCAACTAATTATGTCCCAACAACTGTATCATGTCCCAATTGCTTATGTCCTAACAACTGTATCATGTCCCAACTAATTATGTCCCAACAACTGTATCATGTCCCAACTAATTATGTCCTAACACTTGAATCATGTCCCAACTGCTTATGTCCTAACACCTGTATCATGTCCCAACTGCTTATGTCCTAACAACTGTATCATGTCCCAACTAATTATGTCCCAACAACTGTATCATGTCCCAACTAATTATGTCCCAACAACTGTATCATGTCCCAATTGCTTATGTCCTAACACCTGTATCATGTACCAACTGCTTATGTCCTAACACCTGTATCATGTCCCAAATGCTTATGTCCTAACAACTGTAACATGTCCCAAATGCTTATGTCCCAACAACTGAATCATGTCACAACTACTTATGTTCCCAACAACTGTATCTTATTACAACTGATTATGTCCTAACAACTGTATCATGTCACAACAGCTTATGTCCTAACAACTGTATCAAGTTACAACTGCTCATGTCCTAACAACTGTATCATATCACAACTACTTATGTCCTAACAACTGTATCAAGTTACAACTGCTCATGTCCTAACAACTGTATCATATCACAACTACTTATGTCCTAACAACTGTATCATGTCACAACTGCTTATGTCCTAACAACTGTATCATATCACAACTGTTCATGTCCTAACAACTGTATCATATCACAACTACTTATGTCCTAACAACTGTATCAAGTCACAACTGCTCATGTCCCAACAACTGTATCACATCACAACTACTTATGTCCTAACAACTGTGTCACATCACAACTGACTATGTCCCAACAACTGTATCACATCACAACTACTTATGTCCTAACAACTGTATCAAGTCACAACTGCTTATGTCCCAACAACTGTGTCACATCACAACTGACTATGTCCCAACAACTGTATCACATCACAACTGCTTATGTCCCAACAACTGTATCACATCACAACTGCTTATGTCCCAACAACTGTATCACATCACAACTGCTTATGTCCCAACAACTGTATCACATCACAACTGCTTATGTCCCAACAACTGTGTCACATCACAACTATTTTTGTCCTAACAACCGTATCACATCACAACTGCTTATGTCCCAACAACTGTATCACATCACAACTACTTATGTCCTAACAACTGTATCACATCACAACTACTTACGTCCTAACAACCGTATCACATCACAACTGCTTATGTCCCAACAACTGTATCACATCACAACTACTTATGTCCTAACAACTGTATCACATCACAACTACTTATGTCCTAACAACTGTATCACATCACAACTACTTATGTCCTAACAACTGTATCACATCACAACTACTTATGTCCTAACAACTGTATCACATCACAACTACTTATGTCCTAACAACTGTATCACATCACAACTACTTATGTCCTAACAACTGTATCACATCACAACTGACTATGTCCCAACAACTGTATCACATCACAACTATTTTTGTCCTAACAACCGTATCACATCACAACTGCTTATGTCCCAACAACTGTATCACATCACAACTACTTATGTCCTAACAACTGTATCATATCACAACTACTTATGTCCTAACAACTGTATCACATCACAACTACTTATGTCCTAACAACTGTATCACATCACAACTACTTACGTCCTAACAACCGTATCACATCACAACTGCTTATGTCCCAACAACTGTATCACATCACAACTACTTATGTCCTAACAACTGTATCACATCACAACTACTTACGTCCTAACAACCGTATCACATCACAACTGCTTATGTCCCAACAACTGTATCACATCACAACTACTTATGTCCTAACAACTGTATCACATCACAACTACTTATGTCCTAACAACTGTATCACATCACAACTACTTATGTCCTAACAACTGTATCACATCACAACTACTTATGTCCTAACAACTGTATCACATCACAACTACTTATGTCCTAACAACTGTATCACATCACAACTACTTATGTCCTAACAACTGTATCACATCACAACTACTTATGTCCTAACAACTGTATCACATCACAACTACTTATGTCCTAACAACTGTATCACATCACAACTACTTATGTAATAACAACCATATTTCTAATGTCAATTCTATTAATCTGCATGAAATATAAGAAACATGGAAACTAGGAAATGTCCTGGACAGTGACAGGGGCCGGTACGATGTTGATAACATGACCCACTGAGTGCCAGCGGGTCGATATCTACTATATGGCCTATGTATTTTCACCTGTTCTACCCTTGAACATCTGTCCAGGGGTACTGGGCACCTGTCCAGGGGTACTGGGCACCTGTCCAGGGGTACTGGGGCCACACAGTGTTGCCAAGAGCACAGTGTCACTGGTCATGGTGTAGTGTTGACAGGAAACATTCCTTCAGGCTGTTTGTGTTTTGCAATAATGATTATACTGACTGCACCAAAAACTGTATTTTACATTTCTGAGTCCCTTCCTCTACACTTATTTCTATTTGTCATTGCTGTGTAGTGCAAACATATCATAACGTTTCGGGTCCTGGCGGTATACTGATAGAAGCACTTGCGCACAAAACCTGTCACCCTGATGTTGTCCATCAAAGTTCTTCTTTGCCCTCCTCTTCTTCAACTCTCCCCCAATGTTCCTTGAAGCGCAGTCTTTGCAATCCAATCATGTCCCACCGCGTGCTCAAACCAAGCTAGCTTGCGACTTTTAACCACTGCCAAGAGAGGCTCTTGATGTCCTGCAAATTTGTATATTTTCTCTCTGACATATTTATTAGTTTTGTGATCTATTCTAAAAAGGTGTCTATAGCATTTACATTTGAAAGCCTGAATCCTCCTTTGCACTTGCACAGTGAGAGCCCAACTCTGACACCCGTATAAGAAAATAGACAACACCAGTGATTTGTATTAATTGACCTTAATTGTGATACTAATTGTGCTCTGTCACATGGTTTTCACCTAGGACACTGTTGCCATATCAAGCCTTGTCTGGATCTCTTTGGTACAGCTGCCGTCGTTACTTATGTGGGAGCCAAGACAGTTACAGGTTTCAACTTCTAGTTTTTTCCCTTTTATCTTGATGGTAGGTACTTAATTATTGCAACTATTGTAATGCCAAAAGCTGGTTATGACCAAACACAGATGACACGATGTACTGAGAAATGAAAGGTCCTAAGCCCACACCATGTAATTATACTGTGGCCTCGTATTCACAAAGCTCATAACTCGTAACAGTATTGTTATGGCCCGTTTTGTACAAGACAAAAGTAGACGTTACTGTGTAGTTTCATAGAGGAGAGGTTACCTGCTGGCTTGGGGTGATCCCTCAGGGAGTAGCTGGGAGGACATCCACAGGGCAGGTCAGCCACATAGGAGATCACAGGTCGGATGTAGTTTTCTGAAGTCTTCACACGGCTGACGTACCTCAGCATGGGTTCTATGGCCCTGCAGCAAGTGTGTTCACACAAATATTGTCAGTGTCATGTAAGACAAGCATTGAGGGAAATCAAAGAGATGGTGTCATGAAAGACAAGCATTGAGGGAAATCAAAGAGATGGTGTCATGAAAGACAAGCATTGAGGGAAAGAGACTGAGGCAAAAGGGTAATTCACCATTGAGGAAGATATCTATAGTCATGAAGTCCCTTCCAACATAACAATGACATGAAACAAATAAATCCAGCCTAATTCCTAGTATTGCCAATCAGCCTGACATATTTGACTGCCCTGGAGAAAGTCTGCTCAGATTAGTATCAACCAATTGGCTAACTGCTGTGATAGCTTTTTCTGTCTCCGCTTGTGAAGAAATGTTTGTCAACTGCAGTTTCATTCACTCAATTACCCACAAAATTAACACTTACAGTTGAACTGCTACAGACATAATGTTTATATTATCACTTGTTTTTGGTCAGAGACAAGTATGTGATGTGTGCATTCAGCAGAGATCATGTATTCGGTCAGAGACAAGTATGTGATGTGTGCATTCAGCAGAGATCATGTTTTTGGTCAGAGACAAGTATGTGATGTGTGCATTCAGCAACAAAGAGATCATGTATTTGGTCAGAGACAAGTATTTGATGTGTGCATTCAGCAGAGATCATGTATTTGGTCAGAGACAAGTATGTGATGTGTGCATTCAGCAAACAAAGAGATCATGTTTTCGGTCAGAGACAAGTATGTGATGTGTGCATTCAGCAAACAAAGAGATCATGTATTCGGTCAGAGACAAGTATGTGATGTGTGCATTCAGCAAACAAAGAGATCATGTATTCGGTCAGAGACAAGTATGTGATGTGTGCATTCAGCAGAGATCATGTATTCAATCAGAGACAAGTATGTGATGTGTGCATTCAGCAGAGAACATGTATTTGGTCAGAGACAAGTATGTGATGTGTGCATTCAGCAGAGATCATGTATTTGGTCAGAGACAAGTATGTGATGTATGCATTCAGCAGAGAACATGTATTTGGTCAGAGACAAGTATGTATGTGTGCATTCAGCAAACAAAGAGATCATGTATTTGGTCAGAGACAAGTATGTGATGTGTGCATTCAGCAGAGAACATGTATTTGGTCAGAGACAAGTATGTGATGTGTGCATTCAGCAGAGATCATGTATTTGGTCAGAGACAAGTATGTGATGTGTGCATTCAGCAGAGATCATGAATTTGGTCAGAGACAAGTATGTATGTGATGTGTGCATTCAGCAGAGATCATGTATTTGGTCAGAGACAAGTATGTGATGTGTGCATTCAGCAAACAAAGAGATCATGTATTTGGTCAGAGACAAGTATGTGATGTGTGCATTCAGCAAACAAAGAGATCATGTATTTGGTCAGAGACAAGTAAGTATGTGATGTGTGCATTCAGCAACAAAGAGATCATGTATTTGGCCAGAGACAAGTATGCGATGTGTGCATTCAGCAAACAAAGAGATCACATATTATGTCTTTAGACTAGTATGTGATGTGTGCATTCAGCAGAGATCATGTAATTGGTCAGAGACAAGTATGTGATGTGTGCATTCAGCAGAGATCATGTATTTGGTCAGAGACAAGTATGTATGTGATGTGTGCATTCAGCAGCAAACAAAGAGATCATGTATTTGGTCAGAGACAAGTATGCGATGTGTGCATTCAGCAGAGATCATGAATTCAATCAGAGACAAGTAAGTATGTGATGTGTGCATTCAGCAGCAAACAAAGAGATCATGTATTTGGTCAGAGACAAGTATGTGATGTGTGCATTCAGCAGAGATCATGAATTCAATCAGAGACAAGTATGTATGTGATGTGTGCATTCAGCAGCAAACAAAGAGATCATGTATTTGGTCAGAGACAAGTATGTGATGTGTGCATTCAGCAGAGATCATGAATTCAATCAGAGACAAGTAAGTATGTGATGTGTGCATTCAGCAACAAAGAGATCATGTATTTGGCCAGAGACAAGTATGCGATGTGTGCATTCAGCAAACAAAGAGATCACATATTCGGTCAGAGACTAGTATGTGATGTGTGCATTCAGCAGAGATCATGTAATTGGTCAGAGACAAGTATGTGATGTGTGCATTCAGCAGAGATCATGTAATTGGTCAGAGACAAGTATGTGATGTGTGCATTCAGCAGAGATCATGAATTCAATCAGAGACAAGTATGTGATGTGTGCATTCAGCAGAGATCATGAATTCAATCAGAGACAAGTATGTATGTGATGTGTGCATTCAGCAGAGATCATGAATTCAATCAGAGACAAGTATGTATGTGATGTGTGCATTCAGCAAACAAAGAGATCATTTCTTAAAACAGAAATAGCAAAAATATGTTGCAATAATTGAGAAATCATGTTCTGTATGAGGCACTGCTTGACAGTTTCTGGTGTCTGTACTCAAGAAATTTTTGCTCCTCACCTGAGACACCACATCTGGAAATCCTCTGTGAGTCTATTCAGACCTGATAATGGAGTTCAACTAGCCAATTGGAGAGTTTAATAATCTAAATATTTTTGTTGCATTCATGGTCTTTTGTCTGCTGTTTGTAAAAAAATACCTACAAACTCTGCAAATTAAGGCACCACCAGTCAAAAGATCAGATAATACCCTCTCTTGTAGGGAACTCCATAAAAGAAAGCTTTTGGAGTCACACCAAATTTCTAGATGTGTCTAAATGTCAGACACAATTTTGTTGTTGTTTAAAAGTCTCACCCAGGGGTTCTAATCAATCAAGGAATCAGGTGCCGTCTCCACAGTAACAGTTGGCTGGAATGGATCTCCAACATGCTCTGTCCCTTGTCGTGGTTGTATACTCTCTCAGACTGCTGCCCATCCATCTCTTGATGTTGTCCTCCCACTTGTATCGTTGTCTAATTCTTGCTCACATGCTTTATTAATGAAATACAACTGCTGTGTGAAAGATGAGAGTTTGGAAGGGCCGAATGTAAGACAGGCCTGCATGCCTAATTTGTAACCCTTTGAAAATAAAGTTTGTTCGATCGTTCACTTGCCTTCGACCTTTCCCTCCAGTATAGTTTTTAAAAGTGTGTTATGTCTTTTAATGTGGCCTATTTCTTTCTTTCAGTAATTCTCTTTTTTTCTGTGGCCTTTCCAGAAGCTCTGTATTGGAATGTTTTTGTTTCCATGAAAGATGACCTAAGGGCCCTAATGTAACACAACCTATGGGTTAGGGTTTCTGGTGATCCTGGTGATCAGGTGATCCTGATCCAAATGGTGGCACTTTGTGTCACTGGGTGTTTATCACTCAGTGTGACGCCTGCTAGTCAGTCAGTGACACCATACATTAGTCCACATCAATCACTGATGCACTGATCCCTAGTAAGTAGTGCTCCCTGACAATTTGTCAAAGATCACAAGCTGGAAAAGGGGAGGGGGGAGTATGGCCGCCAATGCCAGTCACTAAGGCACTTGATAAAGATGATGGATTGAAGAATATATAACTGCTTTAAGGTTCAACCCAAACCTCAAGGCCGGGCAACACATGGGCAGCCCTGACACCGCAGGAAGCTCTGATTAATGTAGAACAGGTACATGATGCTCATGCTAGGCGGAGTCACGGAATCATCCTTTCATAGCGGCACTTTCAGGGACTGGTCAGAATCTGTCTGCAGACTGAGTGGTCACCAGAGGAGCTTCCTGCAAGTTCAACCAAATACTACATGACACTTCTAGCAGTTGACACAGCAAAATCTGCTTGGATTTAAAGAGTCATCATCCTGGTTAATGATTCATTTCTGGGCACAGGCTCTCAAGCGTTTAGAATGATCAGAGCCACAGTAAAATACAAGAGATCTTGGTTACATAATCCTACCTGTCTATCAAAGGATCCATCAACTCAAACACGGACATCATCCATTCTGGCACCTGAGAAGTCCAGAAACCAGGAAACATACACATTAATAAGTGAACTGTGTATGTCATGCATGCAAACACATAAGCAAGTGAATATGAACATATGTTTGTCTCTCTTCTTTAACTTTTTCCCCACTTTTACTTCTCTCACTATTTCTTTCTGAGAATAATAATCTATGAGTGTATGTGTGTGTGTGTGTGTGTGTGTGTTGTGTGTGTCTGTATGGTGTATGTGTTGCATCTATTTATGCTGTGTTTGTAAATTATGTGCTTGTGTGTCCGTCTGTACATACTTGTCTGTATTGTGTTTGTGTCTACTGGTTGTGTCTGTGAGAATTGGTATGCTTGTCTATGTTATATCAGTGTGATGTCTGTGTATATGTTGGGTCTGTGTGTGGATGTTGTGACTGCATGCAATTTTTGTCTCCCTGCTATGTGTCATATCCATGCTATGTGTCATATACAAGTTACTTGCTAAATCCACGCTACCTGCCACATCCATGCTATGTGTCATATACAAGTTACTTGCCAAATCCACGCTACCTGTCACATCCATGCTATGTGTCATATACAAGTAACTTGCCAAATCCACGCTACCTGCCACATCCATGCTATGTGTCATATACAAGTTACTTGCCAAATCCTCGCTACCTGCCACATCCATGCTATGTGTCATATACAAGTTACTTGCCAAATCCACGCTACCTGTCACATCCATGCTATGTGTCATATACAAGTTACTTGCCAAATCCACGCTACCTACCACATCCATGCTATGTGTCATATACAAGTTACTTGCCAAATCCACGCTACCTGCCACATCCATGCTATTTGCAGCTCTGTCTTTCTGATCCTTCTCTGCTTCTCCTGTCTTGTATGTTCCTCCATCAAGTTATGTCTTGATTCCATCTCATCAAGTGACATGCTCCACACAACATGTCCCTTCTCTGTAAGCTGGTGGTAAGAGTGACATTACAAACCTTGTAGCTTTTAATATTCTGGAATAACTTTCTTCTGTACCCAAAGACTCTCAAAACAATGTCGGCTGCCTCAAGGTTTTCACAGCTCATTAGCCACGGTGCAACACAGGCAGCATGTCGACTGCCTCAAGGTTTTCTGTGCAACACAGGCAGCATGTCGACTGCCTCAAGGTTTTCTGTGCAACACAGGCAGCATGTCGACTGCCTCAAGGTTTTCTGTGCAACACAGGCAGCATGTCGACTGCCTCAAGGTTTTCTGTGCAACACAGGCAGCATGTCGACTGCCTCAAGGTTTTCTGTGCAACACAGGCAGCATGTCGACTGCCTCAAGGTTTTCTGTGCAACACAGGCAGCATGTCGACTGCCTCAAGGTTTTCTGTGCAACACAGGCAGCATGTCGACTGCCTCAAGGTTTTCTGTGCAACACAGGCAGCATGTCGACTGCCTCAAGGTTTTCTGTGCAACACAGGCAGCATGTCGACTGCCTCAAGGTTTTCTGTGCAACACAGGCAGCATGTCGACTGCCTCAAGGTTTTCTGTGCAACACAGGCAGCATGTCGACTGCCTCAAGGTTTTCACAGCTCATTAGCCACGGTGCAACACAGGCAGCATCTCCACAGAACAGACTTCTCAGTGAGTAGGTCACCTGCTTTGGTTATTCATGTGTTCAAGAGAAAGCTACCTAGCTACAGGAACATGGGAGACAATCTAATGTCTGTACCTTCATGTGTGGTGTCATGTGAGGGCTGGCAACATTGAACATCTCCCACAGGCAACATCTGAAATCACACAAAGACTGATAGCTGATGTACACAGGCAACATTTGAAATCACACAAAGACTGATAGCTGATGTACACAGGCAACATTTGAGATCACACAAAGACTGATAGCTGATGTACACAGGCAACATTTGAGATCACACAAAGACTGATAGCTGATGTACACAGGCAACATCTGAAATCACACAAAGACTGATAGCTGATGTACACAGGCAACATCTGAAATCACACAAAGACTGATAGCTGATGTACACAAGCAACATTTGAAATCACACAAAGACTGATAGCTGATTTACACAAGCAACAACTGAAATTACACAAAGACTGATAGCTGATGTACACAAGCAACAACTGAAATCACATACAGAGTGTTGCATGCATATCTATTGTAGAGACCTAGCTTATTTATATGCAAACAGTTGATTCCTTGCCTCTCAGGCAGATGCACTTGAACTTCAAGGGAAGCCCCCCTGTCAGCCGACTCCTACAATATACATGTGGGGATGCAGTGGTTCAATTCTTTATTTCTCCAACATAGGAACAAATAAGGTACCATGCCACATCAGAGCCACATTAGAAGAACATCATGAACAACTCACTACATGATATAAACCAGAGCAGTTTGGCCACATGCCACCCTCCACAGAGCTAAATTTGGCTCTTCAATTAGTTTACTGTGGCTCTTGAAATAACTGGATGTCACTCTTGTAGTAGCTGAATGTAACCTGCAGGGACACTGAAGAAATAGCTACACTTTTATAAAGAATGTACCTCATAAACATGACATAGCATGCTTGCACAGTGGTACAGCAGTACTGAGTTCAAGTATCACCAGTTCCCACACTGTTTCCACATCAGCAAAGCTCTAGGATCCATCCAGGTTGAAGATTCTATACTGTATCCATCTCAATTTTTTAACAGAATGATCTCAGAAGTAAAGACAGGACAGATGGGAAGTGGCAACACAACATAATGTGTCAGTATCTATATTAGGAGAATCTCTACAGCTTCACACACTGAAGGCCTTGTTGAGAGCCCAGAGTTGAAATTTGCTGTAACATGTTGACTAAAGTGGTTCTAGTTTGTGTCTCTCTGTTTGGTTAAAGTATTAGCACAACACACCAAGAACACTTATCTAACACAGAAAAAATGAGGAACATACTTGTATGTGATGGAGCAAATGAGGAACATACTTGTCTGTGACAGAACAAACAAGGAACATACTTGTCTGTGACAGAACAAATGAGGAACATACTTGTCTGTGACAGAACAAATGAGGAACACATTTGTCTGTGACTGAACAAATGAGGAATATACTTATCTGTGACAGAACAAACAAGGAACATACTTATCTGTGACAGAACAAACGAGGAAATACTTGTCTGTAACAGAAAAAAAAATGAGGAACATACTTGTCTGTGACAGAACAAACGAGGAACATACTTGTCTGTGACAGAACAAACGAGGCCATGCTTGTCTGTTAGAAAGAAAAAAAAACATCCTGACTCGCTGTCTCTGACATGGAACATACCTGTCTATGACATGAAACATACCTGTCTCTGACATGAAACATACCTGTCTATGACATGAAACATACCTGTCTATGACATGGAACATACCTGTCTATGACGTGGAACATACCTGTCTATGACGTGGAACATACCTGTCTATGACATGAAACATACCTGTCTATGATGTGGAACATACCTGTCTATGACATGAAACATACCTGTCTATGACTGGTACAACACACTTGGCCAAGGCATTGGGACAGTAGCGCACTTGGGCTACAATGTGGATGATGGCATCAACGATCACCTGTGTATCAGAGACCAGTTCCGGCTCAGAAATACTCAAGATGTCTGACTTAACAGGCGATGGAGAAGAGTCCACAAGAGAGTCAGATTCCGTGGAGCTGTGAGTGGAGTTCTGGGATACCAAGAGAGATGTGACAGACTGGTCGTCTGCTGGTGCTGCTGGACTCACACAAGCTGCTGGTTTGGATCTGCAAGTCAATAACGGGAAAGATTTGCAAAGAAGACATCAGATTTCCTTGTTCATCTTTAAAACAATTGTTAACTATCTGTCCGTGGAGGGAAGAGTGTGTTCGTAACTCTGAACCCTTTTGCTGCTACGGATGTATTAATATCTTCCGTTTTCTGTGCCCTCACTGCTAAGGATGAGCTAACTCGTCTTCGACTTTTCTTACAGATTGCGAAGAACCATAATTCTCAGGGGTGAAACGGCAATACACATGACCTAAATCTGATCAGACTGACCCATTTACATACAAATAAAACCCTTATCACATGCGTGTAGGTGTAATTAGATGTGTTCTACGTTATCCTGTAGCTTTGTTACCATAGAAGCGGTGAAAATCAGTGTGTGCGAACTGTAATTCACGAGTCACGGCCTGAGATGAAGTGCTAGGATTCTCTGAGACCAGTTCTTCCTTAACCCCCCCCCCCCCCTCCCCTTTCTTCCCCCAGTAATAGTGAGGGGGGTCATAGATTTGTCATTAAAGTTTGTGGGGCAGTTGAACGGAGCAGGGGACAGTAAGAGACTCAGATGCACTCGGGGCAATGACTCAACACACAGCAACGGTTGAGATGATAATAAAGCAGAGGTAAGAATTAAAAACTGTCTTGCAAGGAATGTAAACTGATTGAAACATTCTAAGAATGTTCCTGCTGACAATCGGAAGGCTATTGTTGTGTTGTCTCCGCCATGGAGTTTCTACTACATATGGAAGGCTATTGTTGTGTTGTCTCCGCCATGGAGTTTCTACTATATATGGAAGGCTATTGTTGCGTTGTCTCCGCCATGGAGTTTCTACTACATATGGAAGGCTATTGTTGCGTTGTCTCCGCCATGGAGTTTCTACTACATATGGAAGGCTATTGTTGCGTTGTCTCCGCCATGGAGTTTCTACTACATATGGAAGGCTATTGTTGCGTTGTCTCCGCCATGGAGTTTCTACTACATATGGAAGGCTATTGTTGTGTTGTCTCCGCCATGGAGTTTCTACTACATATGGAAGGCTATTGTTGTGTTGTCTCCGCCATGGAGTTTCTACTACATATGGAAGGCTATTGTTGCGTTGTCTCCGCCATGGAGTTTCTACTACATATGGAAGGCTATTGTTGTGTTGTCTCCGCCATGGAGTTTCTACTACATATGGAAGGCTATTGTTGTGTTGTCTCCGCCATGGAGTTTCTACTACATATGGAAGGCTATTGATGCGTTGTCTCCGCCATGGAGTTTCTACTACATATGGAAGGCTATTGTTGCGTTGTCTCCGCCATGGAGTTTCTACTACATATGAAAGGCTATTGTTGCGTTGTCTCCGCCATGGAGTTTCTACTACATATGGAAGGCTATTGTTGTGTTGTCTCCGCCATGGAGTTTCTACTACATATGGAAGGCTATTGTTGTGTTGTCTCCGCCATGGAGTTTCTACTACATATGGAAGGCTATTGTTGCGTTGTCTCCGCCATGGAGTTTCTACTACATATGGAAGGCTATTGTTGCGTTGTCTCCGCCATGGAGTTTCTACTACATATGGAAGGCTATTGTTGCGTTGTCTCCGCCATGGAGTTTCTACTACATATGGAAGGCTATTGTTGCGTTGTCTCCGCCATGGAGTTTCTACTACATATGGAAGGCTATTGTTGTGTTGTCTCCGCCATGGAGTTTCTACTACATAAGGAAGGCTATTGTTGTGTTGTCTCCGCCATGGAGTTTCTACTACATATGGAAGGCTATTGTTGTGTTGTCTCCGCCATGGAGTTTCTACTACATATGGAAGGCTATTGTTGCGTTGTCTCCGCCATGGAGTTTCTACTACATATGGAAGGCTATTGTTGTGTTGTCTCCGCCATGGAGTTTCTACTACATATGGAAGGCTATTGTTGTGTTGTCTCCGCCATGGAGTTTCTACTACATATGGAAGGCTATTGTTGTGTTCTCTCCACCATGGAGTTTCTACTACATATGGAAGGCTATTGTTGCGTTGTCTCCGCCATGGAGTTTCTACTACATATGGAAGGCTATTGTTGCGTTCTCTCCGCCATGGAGTTTCTACTACATATGGAAGGCTATTGTTGTGTTCTCTCCGCCATGGAGTTTCTACTACATATGGAAGGCTATTGTTGCGTTGTCTCCGCCATGGAGTTTCTACTACATATGGAAGGCTATTGTTGCGTTGTCTCCGCCATGGAGTTTCTACTACATATGGAAGGCTATTGTTGTGTTGTCTCCGCCATGGAGTTTCTACTACATATGGAAGGCTATTGTTGTGTTGTCTCCGCCATGGAGTTTCTACTACATATGGAAGGCTATTGTTGTGTTGTCTCCGCCATGGAGTTTCTACTACATATGGAAGGCTATTGTTGCGTTGTCTCCGCCATGGAGTTTCTACTACATATGGAAGGCTATTGTTGCGTTGTCTCCGCCATGGAGTTTCTACTACATATGGAAGGCTATTGTTGCGTTGTCTCCGCCATGGAGTTTCTACTACATATGGAAGGCTATTGTTGCGTTGTCTCCGCCATGGAGTTTCTACTACATATGGAAGGCTATTGTTGCGTTGTCTCCGCCATGGAGTTTCTACTACATATGGAAGGCTATTGTTGCGTTGTCTCCGCCATGGAGTTTCTACTACATATGGAAGGCTATTGTTGCGTTGTCTCCGCCATGGAGTTTCTACTACATATGGAAGGCTATTGTTGCGTTGTCTCCGCCATGGAGTTTCTACTACATATGGAAGGCTATTGTTGCGTTGTCTCCGCCATGGAGTTTCTACTACATATGGAAGGCTATTGTTGCGTTGTCTCCGCCATGGAGTTTCTACTACATATGGAAGGCTATTGTTGCGTTGTCTCCGCCATGGAGTTTCTACTACATATGGAAGGCTATTGTTGCGTTGTCTCCGCCATGGAGTTTCTACTACATATGGAAGGCTATTGTTGCGTTGTCTCCGCCATGGAGTTTCTACTACATATGGAAGGCTATTGTTGCGTTGTCTCCGCCATGGAGTTTCTACTACATATGGAAGGCTATTGTTGCGTTGTCTCTGCCATGGAGTTTCTACTACATATGGAAGGCTATTGTTGCGTTGTCTCCGCCATGGAGTTTCTACTACATATGGAAGGCTATTGTTGCGTTGTCTCCGCCATGGAGTTTCTACTACATATGGAAGGCTATTGTTGCGTTGTCTCCGCCATGGAGTTTCTACTACATATGGAAGGCTATTGTTGCGTTGTCTCCGCCATGGAGTTTCTACTATATATGGAAGGCTATTGTTGCGTTGTCTCCGCCATGGAGTTTCTACTACATATGGAAGGCTATTGTTGCGTTGTCTCCGCCATGGAGTTTCTACTACATATGTACTAGTGGTGAAGACAAAGACAGACTTGCCGCGGAGACATGTTCTGTCAGTTTCCCGGGTCAAGTGGGACAAACAAGTCTAGTTTCTAGTGTTTCCTTTCTGTAACTGTGTTTCTTGCTGCTACCAAAGTGCGTCTGATTTGTCAGTACACAGGCCATCATCCACATAGCTAGATAAAATATTTTCAGGTGTACACAATAGAGCCCACCCTGCCAACCTATCTTTTGTGTTTGGAGGATAGAAAAGTATTCAGCACAGGGGAAAGTTCAGCATGCAACCTGCTTATCACAGTGGTAACATTCTCTGGTGGAGTGCCTAGCAGCGAAAGCGTTAACAGTTATTAAAAAAACAAAAAAACTTTCTGATGTATAAAAGTGGATGAAGATTCAATAGCCAATTAGTGAGAAATTACTTGTAGGCTGCAGAGTTATGGTTTCTTAAGATTCTGATAAATACTTTTAACTGATCAAATAAGAAAAGATGGGTAAAACTGTTCAGCCAAGTCAGAAGATGACAATATATTCTTCTTGTGTCCATTAACTACTTTGTGCCCCAAGTCACCCAGCTTAACAGATGACTGGTTTCTGAGCTAGAGTCAGCTGGGTTGCCCCGATATGCTGCCATGCTGTGGAGTCTCAAGATATCAGTGACTCCTTCAATCCATTCTTCTTGGCCATCCTTGACTTCTTGGTGTTTCTACTTTGAAGTGACAGTACATGCAGACGCATGGATACTAGGCACTAAACGCTTGGCATGTACTCGACCTAAAGCTGTGGGGGGGGGGGGGGGGGGGGGGCGGTGTCAGTTGTTCATACTTGTGAGAAAAGTTCCTTTTGTGTAGCTGGAATTTGAAGTTAGTTACAGTAGATAGGATCATGTTTAAACTATTATTCCAGACGCATCCACTAGTCTCCCATGACTTGGTTCATTTGGCTAGTGTGCTTTGTGAATAACCATAGCAAATACTGTTGATATACTTAGCCAGTGACTGCCTGAGATCTGTGCCCTTGTAGGCTATGAGAAAATGGGTGGCTACTCAGTAGTTGATAACTTTGTGTGGAAACCAGACTAACTTTACAATTATTGTCAATGTTAACATGTTAACGGAAGTTTGGACCTACTAACAAAACAAAAACAACTGTACCTTTGTCACCACTTAAAAAAAAAAGATGTCTGACAGGTACTAGAGGGCTGTCTGAATATGACATAGATGTATGAGCTGTGCATATACTATCTGAGTATGCAGACAGCAATCATGTCAGTACAGCACCTGAGTGATGGCCACGTTTGTACAGGTTCACTAAGTGACTGGTGGTGTGCCCCCTTAGAGACAAGGCCCTGCAACCCCATACCATATAAGGCATATCCCAGAAGACAAGACGGATGTGGACAAAGAGACAGACCAAGAGCAAGGTGGAAAAAACATCAGACGAACTATGCAACAACATGATGTGTCTATGGTCGAGGCAGCCACAAGAGCAAGGTGGAAAAAACATCAGACGAACTATGCAACAACATGATGTGTCTATTGTCGAGGCAGCCACAAGAGCAAGGTGGAAAAAACATCAGACCAACTATGCAACAACATGATGTGTCTATTGTCGAGGCAGCCACAAGAGCAAGGTGGAAAAAACATCAGACCAACTATGCAACAACATGATGTGTCTATGGTCCAGGCAGCCACAAGATCAAGGTGGAAAAAACATCAGACCAACTATGCAACAACATGATGTGTCTATGGTCCAGGCAGCCACAGGAGCAAGGTGGAAAAAACATCAGACCAACTATGCAACAACATGATGTGTCTATGGTCGAGGCAGCCACAAGAGCAAGGTGGAAAAAAACATCAGACCAACTATGCAACAACATAATGTGTCTATGGTCCAGGCAGCCACAGGAGCAAGGTGGAAAAAACAGACCAACTATACAACAACATGATGTGTCTATGGTCCAGGCAGCCACAAGAGCAAGGTGGATAAAACATCAGACCAACTATGCAACAACATGATGTGTCTATGGTCCAGGCAGCCACAGGAGCAAGGTGGAAAAAACATCAGACCAACTATGCAACAACATGATGTGTCTATGGTCCAGGCAGCCACAGGAGCAAGGTGGAAAAAACATCAGACCAACTATGCAACAACATGATGTGTCTATGGTCCAGGATGCCACAGGAGCAAGGTGGAAAAAACATCAGACCAACTATGCAACAACATGATGTGTCTATGGTCCAGGCAGCCACAGGAGCAAGGTGGAAAAAACATCAGACCAACTATGCAACAACATGATGTGTCTATGGTCCAGGCAGCCACAGGAGCAAGGTGGAAAAAACATCAGACCAACTATGCAACAACATGATGTGTCTATGGTCCAGGCAGCCACAGGAGCAAGGTGGAAAAAACATCAGACCAACTATGCAACAACATGATGTGTCTATGGTCCAGGCAGCCACAAGAGCAAGGTGGAAAAAACATCAGACCAACTATGCAACAACATGATGTGTCTATGGTCCAGGCAGCCACAGGAGCAAGGTGGAAAAAACATCAGACCAACTATGCAACAACATGATGTGTCTATGGTCCAGGCAGCCACAGGAGCAAGGTGGAAAAAACATCAGACCAACTATGCAACAACATGATGTGTCTATGGTCCAGGCAGCCACGGGAGCAAGAACCAGAAACTTGTATCTCCTTCAACACCAGAACTGGCAGAAAAGGAAATCAACAAGAAGCATTGACAGTGTAAGCATCAGAGTAATGTGTTCTTTCTACCTGAGTGTGTCAGGTAGGTAACTAAGTAATGTTTTTTTTTTTCTACCTGAGTGCGTCAGATAGGTAAATGAGTAATGCTTTCTTTTCTACCTGAGTGTGTCAGACAGGTAACAGAGTAATGCTTTCTCTTTACCTGAGTGTGTCAGACAGATAACAGAGTAATACTTTCTCTTTACCTGAGTGTGTCAGACAGGTAACAGAGTAATGCTTTATCTTTACCTGAGTGTGTCAGGTAATAGAGAAATGTTTTACCATGTCTCAATGTGTCAGACAGGTAACAGAGAAATGTTTTACCATGTCTGTGTGTGTCAGACAGGTAATAGAGAAATGTTTTACCATGTCTCAATGTGTCAGACAGGTAACAGAGAAATGTTTTACCATGTCTGAGTGTGTCGGACAGGTAACAGTGAAATGTTTTACCATGTCTCAGTGTGTCAGACAGGTAACAGAGAAATGTTTTACCATGTCAGAGTGTGTCAGGCAGGCAATAGAGAAATGTTTTACCATGTCTGAGTGTGTCAGATAGGCAACAGAGAAATGTTTTACTATGTCCGAGTGTGTCAGACAGGTAATAGATAAATGTTTTACCTTGTCTCAATGTGTCAGACAGGTAACAGAGAAATGTTTTACCATGCCTGAGTGTGTCAGATAGGTAACAGAGAAATGTTTTACCATGTCTGAGTGTGTCAGACAGGTAAAAGAGAAATGTTTTACCATGTCTCAATGTGTCAGACAGGTAACATAGAAATGTTTTACCACATCTGAGTGTGTCAGACAGGTAACAGAGAAATTTTTACCACATCTGAGTGTGTCAGACAGGTAATAGATAAATGTTTTACCACATCTGAGTGTGTCAGACAGGTAACAGAGAAATGTTTTACCTTGTCTCGGTGTGTCAGACAGGTAATAGATAAATGTTTTACCTTATCTCAGTGTGTCAGACAGGTAACAGAGAAATGTTTTACCATGTCTGTGCGTGTCAGACAGGTAATAGAGAAATGTTTTACCATGTCTCAATGTGTCAGACAGGTAACAGAGAAATGTTTTACCACATCTGAGTGTGTCAGACAGGTAATAGATAAATGTTTTACCTTGTCTCAGTGTGTCAGACAGGTAGTAGATAAATGTTTTACCTTGTCTCAGTGTGTCAGACAGGTAATAGAGAAATGTTGTACCTTGTCTCAGTGTGTCAGACAGGTAATAGATAAATGTTTTACTATGTCTCAGTGTGTCAGACAGGTAATAGATAAATGTTTTACCATGTCTGAGTGTGTCAGACAGGTAACAGAGAAACGTTTTACCATGTCTGAGTGTGTCAGACAGGTAACAGAGAAATGTTTTACCATGTCTCAGTGTGTCAGACAGGTAACAGAGAAATGTTTTACCATGTCTGAGTGTGTCGGACAGGTAACAGTGAAATGTTTTACCATGTCTCAGTGTGTCAGACAGGTAACAGAGAAATGTTTTACCATGTCAGAGTGTGTCAGGCAGGCAATAGAGAAATGTTTTACCATGTCTGAGTGTGTCAGATAGGCAACAGAGAAATGTTTTACTATGTCCAAGTGTGTCAGACAGGTAATAGTTAAATGTTTTACCTTGTCTCAATGTGTCAGACAGGTAACAGAGAAATGTTTTACCATGCCTGAGTGTGTCAGATAGGTAACAGAGAAATGTTTTACCATGTCTGAGTGTGTCAGACAGGTAAAAGAGAAATGTTTTACCATGTCTCAATGTGTCAGACAGGTAACATAGAAATGTTTTACCACATCTGAGTGTGTCAGACAGGTAACAGAGAAATTTTTACCACATCTGAGTGTGTCAGACAGGTAATAGATAAATGTTTTACCACATCTGAGTGTGTCAGACAGGTAACAGAGAAATGTTTTACCTTGTCTCGGTGTGTCAGACAGGTAATAGAGAAATGTTGTACCTTGTCTCAGTGTGTCAGACAGGTAATAGATAAATGTTTTACTATGTCTCAGTGTGTCAGACAGGTAATAGATAAATGTTTTACTATGTCTCAGTGTGTCAGACAGGTAATAGATAAATGTTTTACCATGTCTGAGTGTGTCAGACAGGTAATAGAGAAATGTTGTACCTTGTCTCAGTGTGTCAGACAGGTAATAGATAAATGTTTTACTATGTCTCAGTGTGTCAGACAGGTAATAGATAAATGTTTTACCATGTCTGAGTGTGTCAGACAGGTAACAGAGAAATGTTTTACCATGTCTGAGTGTGTCAGACAGGTAACAGAGAAATGTTTTACCATGTCTGAGTGTGTCAGACAGGTAACAGAGAAATGTTTTACCATGTCTGAGTGTGTCAGACAGGTAACAGAGAAATGTTTTACCATGTCTCAGTGTGTCAGACAGGTAACAGAGAAATGTTTCACCATGTCTGAGTGTGTCAGACAGGTAATATATAAATGTTTTACCTTGTCTCAGTGTGTCAGACAGGTAATAGATAAATGTTTTACTTTGTCTCAGTGTGTCAGACAGGTAATAGATAAATGTTTTACCTTGTTTCAATGTGTCAGACAGGTAATAGATAAATGTTTTACCTTGTCTCAATGTGTCAGACAGGTAACAGAGAAATGTTTTACCTTGTATCAGTGTGTCAGACAGGTAATAGATAAATGTTTTACCTTGTCTCAACGTGTCAGACAGGTAAAAGAGAAATGTTTTACCATGTCTGAGTGTGTCAAACAGGTAAAAGAGAAATGTTTTACCACATCTGAGTGTGTCAGACAGGCAACAGAAAAATGTTATACTATGTCTGAGTGTGGCAAACAGGTAATAGATAAATGTTTTACCTTGTCTCAGTGTGTCAGAAAGGTAATATATAAATGTTTTACCTTGTCTCAGTTTGTCAGACAGGTAATAGATAAATGTTTTACCTTATCTCAGTGTGTCAGACAGGTAATAGATAAATGTTTTACCTTGTCTCAATGCCTCAGACAGGTAACAGAGAAATGTTTTACCATGTCTGAGTGTGTCAGACAGGTAAAAATGTGTAAGACACCTATGAAAAAATCATGATATTATACCTGAGTGTGTCCGACAAGGTGGTGGCTACAGAAGCATCCAGCAGACAGGTACGAGTTAACAGCAGGATGGCCAGAGAGCAGTCCTTCATGACCAGCGCCTGCAAGATATCAACAACAGTTACAGGGGTTTCTTGCTTGAACAGGCAGATAGACAGAGGGATGGACAGACAGGCAAGTAAAGACATGGAAGAGTATTTTTGGTTGACTAGAGATTGAGAGACAGACACAGGCTGAGAGACAGACAGAGAGGCTGAGAGACAGACAGAGAGGCTGAGAGACAGACAGAGAGGCTGAGAGACAGACAGAGATGCTGAGAGACAGACAGAGAGGCTGAGAGACAGACAGAGAGGCTGAGAGACAGAGAAGATTTTAGGCAGACAACCTGAGAGTTAAAGAACTTTATTTCAGATGCAGATCTCATGTGAATGAGAATATTGAACAGAGGTAGAAAAAAACAGAGGAAGATAGACAGGGATGTAGTTAGACAAAGATACAGGGTGACAGGAAGATAGACAGGGATGTAGTCAGGCAAAGATACAGGGTGAGAGGAAGATAGACAGGGATATAGTCAGGCAAAGATACAGGGTGCGAGGAAGATAGACAGGGATGTAGTCAGGAAAAGATACAAGTGCGAGGAAGATAGACAGGGATGTAGTCAGGCAAAGATACAGGGTGAGAGGAAGATAGATAGGGATGTAGTCAGGCAAAGATACAGGGTGAGAGGAAGATAGACAGGAATGTAGTCAGGCAAAGATGCACGGTGAGAGGAAGATAGATAGGGATGTAGTCAGGCAAAGATACAGGGTGAGAGGGAGATAGGTAGGGATGTAGTCAGGCAAAGATACAGGGTGAGAGGAAGATAGATAGGGATGTAGTCAGGCAAAGATACAGGGTGAGAGGAAGATAGGTAGGGATGTAGTCAGGCAAAGATACAGGGTGAGAGGAAGATAGACAGGGATGTAGTCAGGCAAAGATACAGGGTGAGAGGAAGATAGATAGGGATGTAGTCAGGCAAAGATACAGGGTGAGAGAAAGATAGACGGATGTAGTCAGGCAAAGATGCACGGTGAGAGGAAGATAGAAAGGGATGTAGTCAGGCAAAGATACAGGGTGAGAGGAAGATAGACAGGGATGTAGTCAGGCAAAGATACAGGGTGAGAGGAAGATAGACAGGGATGTAGTCAGGCAAAGATACAGGGTGAGAGGAAGATAGATAGGGATGTAGTCAGGCAAAGATACAGGGTGAGAGAAAGATAGACGGATGTAGTCAGGCAAAGATACAGGGTGAGAGGAAGATAGACAGGGATGTAGTCAGGCAAAGATACAGGGTGCGAGGAAGATAGACAGGGATGTAGTCAGGCAAAGATACAGGGTGCGAGGAAAATAGATAGGGATGTAGTCAGGCAAAGATACAGGGTGAGAGGAAGATAGACAGGGATGTAGTCAGGCAAAGATACAGGGTGAGAGGAAGATAGACAGGGATGTAGTCAGGCAAAGATACAGGGTGAGAGGAAGATAGACAGGAATGTAGTCAGGCAAAGATACAGGGTGAGAGGAAGATAGGTAGGGATGTAGTCAGGCAAAGATACAGGGTGAGAGGAAGATAGACAGGAATGTAGTCAGGCAAAGATACAGGGTGAGATGAAAGACCTTTGCTGCAGACAGAGAAACAGACAGAGTGAGAGACCTGTGACTGGACAGGGAGATAGAGAGGTAGACCGGCAGGCAGAGAGACAGTTATAGGAAGTGAGAGATTCATCACTTAGAAAAAGAGTGGTTACAAAATAGTGACTGAATGACAACGTGAAATAATATAAAAATGAGAAATAAAGGAAGTAAGTGAATGTGAAAGAAAGATAGTGATTGATAAATAAAAAGCAAATGTGTGAGGAAATGAATGTGTGAGAAAGATAATGAGTGATGAATAAACAGCAAATGTGTGAGGAAATGAATGTGTGAGAAAGATAATGAGTGATGAATAAACAGCAAATGTGTGAGGAAATGAATGAATGTGAAAATGTGACAAATAGTGTGTCATACATAAAAGTGACTGAGTAGTTATGCGAAATATTGTACACTCATGACAGTCACTGTGTGAGAAAGACACTGTGTGAGAAAGACACTGTGTGAGAAAGACACTGTGTGAGAAAGACACTGTGTGAGAAAGATAGTGTGTGTGAAAATGATTGTGTGAGAAAGATAGTGTGTGTGAGAAAAACAGTGTTAAAGAAAGACAGTGTGTGAGAAAGACAGTGTGTGAGAAAGACAGTGTGTGAGAAAGACGGTGTGTGAGAAAGATGGTGTGTGAAAAAGATGGTATGTGAGAAAGATAGTGTGTAAGAAAGTGAGTAATGAAGTTAAACAAAGTTAAAAAACAATAGTGTCAGAAATAGTGGCAGGGATGGCATGATTGTATGGCATGCTGTAGATCCCTATCAACACAGTGGCAGGGATAGCATGAGTGTATGGCCTGCTGTAGATCCCTATCAACACAGTGACAGGGATAGCATGATTGTATGGCCTGCTGTAGATCCCTATCAACACAGTGGCAGGGATAGCATGATTGTATGGCCTGCTGTAGATCCCTATCAACACAGTGGCAGGGATAGCATGATTGTATGGCATGCTGTAGGTCCCTATCAACACAGTGGCAGGGATAGCATGATTGTATGGCCTGCTGTAGATCCCTATCAACACAGTGGCAGGGATGGCATGATTGTATGGCCTGCTGTAGATCCCTATCAACACAGTGGCAGGGATAGCATGATTGTATGGCCTGCTGTAGATCCCTATCAACACAGTGGCAGGGATAGCATGATTCTATGGCATGCTGTAGATCCCTATCAACACAGTGGCAGGGATAGCATGATTGTATGGCCTGCTGTAGGTCCCTATCAACACAGTGGCAGGGATAGCATGATTGTATGGCCTGCTGTAGATCCCTATCAACACAGTGGCAGGGATAGCATGATTGTATGGCCTGCTGTAGGTCCCTATCAACACAGTGGCAGGGATAGCATGATTGTATGGCATGCTGTAGATCCCTATCAACACAGTGGCAGGGATAGCATGATTGTATGGCCTGCTGTAGGTCCCTATCAACACAGTGGCAGGGATAGCATGATTGTATGGCATGCTGTAGATCCCTATCAACACAGTGGCAGGGATAGCATGATTGTATGGCCTGCTGTAGGTCCCTATCAACACAGTGGCAGGGATAGCATGATTGTATGGCCTGCTGTAGGTCCCTATCAACACAGTGGCAGGGATAGCATGATTGTATGGCCTGCTGTAGATCCCTATCAACACAGTGGCAGGGATAGCATGATTGTATGGCCTGCTGTAGATCCCTATCAACACAGTGGCAGGGATAGCATGATTCTATGGCATGCTGTAGATCCCTATCAACACAGTGGCAGGGATAGCATGATTGTATGGCCTGCTGTAGGTCCCTATCAACACAGTGGCAGGGATAGCATGATTGTATGGCCTGCTGTAGATCCCTATCAACACAGTGGCAGGGATAGCATGATTGTATGGCCTGCTGTAGATCCCTATCAACACAGTGGCAGGGATAGCATGATTCTATGGCATGCTGTAGGTCCCTATCAACAAAAGAAACAATGGTGCCATGTTCCTGAGACTGTCCATTAAACAGTGATCATATGTTCTTGAAATGAAAATGACCCTGACCTCATTAGTCACTGCAACTCCTCATAAAACAACAAACATACACAAAACACCGGGAATATGAGACTAATTATTTGACAAAAACAGCAATTCCTCACAAAACAAAAAACACACACAAAAGACTGGGAATATGAGACTGATTATGTGACAAGCACAGCAACTTCTCACAAAACAACAAACAAACACAAAACACTGTGAATATGAGACTGATTATGTGACAAGCACAGCAACAGATGCTCTAATGAGTGACAGAAAGAAAGGGAGAGAATGCTGACACAGCACGGACACAGCAGATGAGCATCCACAGACCTAGAGAACTGATGTGAATGCTGCACAACTAAACTCTTTGTTTTCTGAGCAACTCACTCACAGCTTGATGCAAGAGTTTAGATTTATGTAACCGAATGTGTCATTAGGTATCAGAGTGCAATTTTTAGGGTGATCCTTGGGATCATTGATGGCGCTATGAAGTTTGGGCTTTGTGTGACACTCTTGGCTGGCAGCAAGCCATTCTTTGAATAGAGACCAAGCACAACGGGATAAACCCAACTCGTGGCTTTACTAAATATTTGTTGTTATCTCTAGTATCTGCCACTGACTGACCCACCATACAGTCGACATTTCTGTAAGCATGTTTGAAAGGACAGTAAAATAATAAATATAACCGTAAACTGTATGTTTAGTCTAGTCAACTTATTTTCACGCTACAAAGAAAGTCGACTTATTTCCTACTTTTGAGGGATACCAAGAATCAATACAGCCCAAACTGTTATAAGCCCCTTGTCAGATGGTTACCTGAGTACCCAAGCACTGTCCCCAACCGTTTTGTCATAAATGTGATTGTCACAAGGTCTCTCACCTGGGCCAGGTGTGCTGGAGACAGAAATCAGCATCAACCCAATCTGGGCTCAACTGATCCTTGACACATCAAGAGGTCAAGAAGACGCAACAATAAAACAACAAGAAGCAACAAACTAGGATCACCCACCTGCACCAAAATCCCCCAGTCAGTTTGTACAACAATAAAACAACAAGAAGCAACAAACTAGGATCACCCACCTGCACCAACATCCCCCAGTCAGTTTGTACAACAATAAAACAACAAGAAGCAACAAACTAGGATCACCCACCTGCACCAACATCCCCCAGTCAGTTTGTGGCTGGTTCAGAAAGAGGCTCAGATGTAAGTAGAGAGCTGTGGCCGTCTGCATATCATCATAGCTGCAATAAGCATGCCAACAATTGTGTTATTGTTAACTTCAGCTTGTTCATTTGTCTGCTATATTAATCAGAAATATCCTCACTGGATCTGCCAAGGGAGACTGGGCACTTATGGTGTCATTACAGTGCAGTGATATCAGCTGTGTCCACACAACAAGAATGCCTCTTATCTCAGACTCACAGCAATTATCACATAAGGTGTCATAACAGTGCAGTGATATCAGTTCTGTCAACACACAACAAGAATGCCACTTATCTCACTCACAGCAATTATCATATATAGTGTCTTTACAGTGTAGTGATATCAGCTCTGTCAACACACAACAAGAATGCCACTTATCTCACTCACAGCAATTATCATATATAGTGTCTTTACAGTGTAGTGATATCAGTTCTGTCAACACACAACAAGAATGCCCCTTATCTCAGACTCACAGCAATTATCATATATAGTGTCATTACAGTGTAGTGATATCAGCTCTGTCAACATACAACAAGAATGCCTCTTATCTCCGACTCACAGCAATTATCATATATAGTGTCTTTACAGTGTAGTGATATCAGCTCTGTCAACACACAACAAGAATGCCCCTTATCTCAGACTCACAGCAATTATCACATATGGTGACACCAGTTCATCAGATCACCAAAGAAGAAATTCTGCAAGCCTGCAGAATGACACTTGACATCAAATGATACAACACAAAGCCTACATATGGTCACTTTATGTCAAATGATACAACACAGTGCCTATACACTGTCACTTGACATCAAATTATACAGCAAAGCCCACAGACTGTCACTTGACATCAAATGATACAACACAGTGCCTACACACTGTCACTTTATGTCAAATGATACAACACAGTGCCTATGCACTATCACTTGACATCAAATGATACAACACAGTGCCTACACACTGTCACTTGACATCAAATGATACAACACAGTGCCTACACACTGTCACTTGACATCAAATGATACAACACAGTGCCTACACACTGTCACTTGACATCAAATGATACAACACAGTGCCTACACACTGTCACTTGACATCAAATGATACAACACAGTGCCTACACACTGTCACTTGACATTAAATGATACAACACAGTGCCTACACACTGTCACTTGACATCAAATGATACAAAAGACCCTGACAGCATGAAGTCTAGTTAGCTTCATATGTGAACAAAAAAACATGCACTTACTGTTTTGTGCCCGAGTGAATCAGAGATGGCCAAATCCAGTGCAGCCAGTTGGAGTTTGAGCCTGCCAGCATGGAGTCACCACTACCTTGAGTCTCCAGCTTGCGGTCGTAGCCTCTCTTGAACACTCTGAAAGGGAAGACTCAAATGACTTTTACACAGCTAAACAGAGAAGCTGGAACACACACAAAAATGAAGCCATGCAAGTCATTCTGGGATGTACACAAGACATGTCAGCTATGTGCATGCAGCTCATACTAGCACTGCCTTCTGTACATGAGAGATACAAGGTTTTACATCAAGAATATACCTCAAAGTAGCAACAGACAGGGAACACTTTCTGTATGGGACCACAGGGAACACCTTCTGCATGGGACCACAGGGAACACCTTCTGCATGGGACTGAAGGGAACACCTTCTGCATGGGACCGAAGGGAACACCTTCTGCATGGGACCGAAGGGAACACCTTCTGCATGGGACCGAAGGGAACACCTTCTGCATGGGACCGAAGGGAACACCTTCTGCATGGGGAACACCTTCTGCATGGGACTGAAGGGAACACCTTCTGCATGGGACTGAAGGGAACACCTTCTGCATGGGACCGAAGGGAACACCTTCTGCATGGAACCGAAGGGAACACCTTCTGCATGGGACCGAAGGGAACACTTTCTGCATGGGACCGAAAGGAACACCTTTTGCACCAGACCACAGGAAACAGCAAAGGACAATGGCTGAAAAGAGGTGGCTCTTGGATGGCACAGGCAGAGGTCACAATCAAAACTGTTTGTACAACTGACAATACAGCACGTGGTGAAGAATGAGTGACAGCTCCACCTAGCCAAACAGAGTCAGCAGTACAAAAGCTGATCAATGAAAACTCACACCCAGGTGACATCACAATTAATATACACAGGTGGGTCTATAGAGAAATGTAAGAAGAGTGCTTGGGGTTTTATTGCAAAGGTAAATGGACACTGCTTGAAAGTAAATGGACACTGCTTGAAAGCAGATAGCTTTTTTGTGCTTTATTCTGCTTTTGTGTGCTTTATTCTTTGTTTGTATTCCCAACTTTCTATACAGTGTCTATTAGGATGGTTACGATTCTTTCTAATGCATCTTTCATAAATTTCTAAAGTGGCTTTTTCTCTCCGCAACCCGAGGGGTTCCACATTTGTATGGATTTCACATGCAGCAGTTGGAGTAGACTGCATAGCTCCGCTTATTAATCGGATGGCATTTTTTTGTTCTGTCAAGAGACTCTAGGTTTGTCTTGGAGCAGGTTGCAAGTAGCGAGTTGTTATACTCTATCACAGAGCGAACATATCTGAGATACAAGCCCCTCAGAGTTTCCTTGTCTGATCCCCAAGCTGTACCTGCAAGTCTCTTCAATAACTGTAATCGCCTCAATGCCTTATTCCTTACAGTTTCAATATGATTCTTGAGGCTGAGCTGCCGGTCAAGTGTGACTCCAAGGTATGTGGGATGCTCTTCTTTCATAACTTGGTGTTTGTCTAACCTCAGGTTAATATTCTTCCTTGCTACTTGGTGGCTTTTGGTAAAGATTGTGTAGACCGTCTTTGCACAGTTAACCTTGAGTTTCCATCTTTGGCAGTACTCATGCAGTCTTCTAAGGTCATCATTAAGTCTTTGGGCTCCACTTTCTATATTTTCATGACTCTGCCATATTGCTAGATCATCAGCGTACAAGGCTTTTTCGGCCTTGATTTGTTCCGGCAAAGCGTTGATAAAGTGTACAGCTCAAGCCCTCCTCCAAGACTTCTGTACAGCTGTTGGTTCTGAAGCCTGCCTTTTCGTGGCATAGAACACAAGAACTCTCTAGGAACCAACACAAGCGCCTGTTTATCATTCTTTCTGCAACTTTGCCCAAGCATGATGTTAAGGATATCGGGCGGTAGCTTTTTGGGTTGTCTGGAGGCTTTTTGTTTTAAGAATGGGGACGATATATGCATTTCTTCATGCCTTTGGAAGTTTGCTTGACCTCCAAGTTTTAATAATAAGCCTGAGAACTACTTCTCTCCCAGACCGGTCAAAATGTAGCAGCATTTTGTTGTGGATCTTATCTGGGCCTGGGGATTTTCTAGGTTTTAATTTCTTCAGGGCTTGTTCTAATTCACTCATGATAAACTCATCTTCAAAAAAGGAGTCGCTGGCTGTTGGAGCTCTCTCTTGTTTCTTTAATTGAGATAGCTGCATTCTGTCCCATTCTGTGCGTTTGCCTGCACTGTTAACAGAGGTGAAATAATGATTGAAATGTTCAGCTCTCATCCGCATCACTTCATAAGACTCAGATCAAGAGCATTTCATGAGTTTTCTGTCCAGGATATTCAGGTGTGCAAGGTAATGAGCAGGCTGATAGATTAGCTGTCGCAACATCTCCTGTTGATAAGCTACTATATAATATATATGGCAGATGTGATAGATTAGCTGTCGCAACGTCTCTTGTTAATAAGCTACTATATGATAAGGCAGATGTGATAGATTAGCTGTAGCAGCATCTCTTGTTGATAAGCTACTATATGATAAGGCAGATGTGATAGATTAGCTGTCGTAGCATCTCCTGTTGATAAGCTACTATATAATATATATGGCAGATGTGATAGATTAGCTGTTGCATCATCTCTTGTTGATAAGCTACTATATGATAAGGCAGATGTGATAGATTAGCTGTTGCATTATCTCCTGTTGATAAGCTACTTTATGATAAGGCAGATGTGATAGATTAGCTGTCGTAGCATCTCCTGTTGATAAGCTACTATATGATAAGGCAGATGTGATAGATTAGCTGTCGCAGCATCTCTTGTTGATAAGCTACTATATGATAAGGCAGATGTGATAGATTAGCTGTAGCAGCATCTCTTGTTGATAAGCTACTATATGATAAGGCAGATGTGATAGATTAGCTGTCGTAGCATCTCCTGTTGATAAGCTACTATATAATATATATGGCAGATGTGATAGATTAGCTGTTGCATCATCTCTTGTTGATAAGCTACTATATGATAAGGCAGATGTGATAGATTAGCTGTCGCAGCATCTCCTGTTGATAAGCTACTATATGATAAGGCGAATGTGATAGATTAGCTGTCACAGCATCTACTATATGATAAGGCAAATGTGATAGATTAACTGTCGCAGCATCTCCTGTTGATAAGCTACTATATGATAAGGCGGATGTGATAAATTAGCTGTCACAGCATCTCTTGTTGATAATCTACTATATGATAAGGCGGATGTGATAGATTAGCTGTAGCAGCATCTCTTGTTGATAAGCTACTATATGATAAGGCAAATGTGATAGATTAGCTGTCGCAGCATCTCCTGTTGATAAGCTACTATATGATAAGGCAGATGTGATAGATTAGCTGTCGCATCATCTCTTGTTGATAAGCTACCATATGATAAGGCAGATGTGATAGATTAGCTGTTGCAGCATCTCTTGTTGATAAGCTACTTTATGATAATGCAAATGTGATAGATTCGCTGTCGTAGCATCTCTTGTTGATAAGCTAATATATGATAAGGCAAATGTGATAGATTAGCTGTCACAGCATCTCCTGTTGATAAGCTACTATATGATAAGGCGGATGTGATAGATTAGCTGTCACAGCATTTCTTGTTGATAAGCTACTATATGATAAGGCAAATGTGATAGATTAGCTGTCACAGCATCTCTTGTTGATAAGCTACTATATGATAAGGCAAATGTGATAGATTAGCTGTAGCAGCATCTCTTGTTGATAAGCTACTATATGATAAGGCAAATGTGATAGATTAGCTGTAGCAGCATCTCTTGTTGATAAGCTACTATATGATAAGGCAAATGTGATAGATTAGCTGTAGCAGCATCTCTTGTTGATAAGCTACTATATGATAAGGCAAATGTGATAGATTAGCTGTCACAGCATCTCTTGTTGATAAGCTACTATATGATAAGGCAAATGTGATAGATTAGCTGTAGCAGCATCTCTTGTTGATAAGCTACTATATGATAAGGCAAATGTGATAGATTAGCTGTAGCAGCATCTCTTGTTGATAAGCTACTATATGATAAGGCAAATGTGATAGATTAGCTGTCACAGCATCTCTTGTTGATAAGCTACTATATGATAAGGCAAATGTGATAGATTAGCTGTAGCAGCATCTCTTGTTGATAAGCTACTATATGATAAGGCAAATGTGATAGATTAGCTGTAGCAGCATCTCTTGTTGATATTCTACTATATAATAAGGCGGATGTAATAGATTAGCTGTCGCAGCATCTCTTGTTGATAAGATACTATATGATAAGGCGGATGTGATAGATTAGCTGTCGTAGCATCTCTTGCTAATAAGCTATTTTATGATAAGGCAAATGTGATAGATTAGCTGTCGCAGCATCTCCTGTTGATAAGCTACTATATGATAAGGCGGATGTGATAGATTAGCTGTCACAGCATCTCTTGTTGATAAGCTACTATATGAAAAGGCAAATGTGATAGATTAGCTGTAGCAGCATCTCTTGTTGATAAGCTACTATATGATAAGGTAAATGTGATAGATTAGCTGTAGCAGCATCTCTTGTTGATAAGCTACTATATGATAAGGCAGATGTGATAGATTAGCTGTCGTAGCATCTCTTGTTGATAAGCTACTATATAATATATATGGCAGATGTGATAGATTAGCTGTCGTAGCATCTCTTGTTGATAAGCTACTATATAATATATATGGCAGATGTGATAGATTAGCTGTCGTAGCATCTCTTATTGATAAGCTACTATATGATAAGGCAAATGTGATAGATTAGCTGTAGCAGCATCTCTTGTTGATAAGCTACTATATGATAAGGCAGATGTGATAGATTAGCTGTCGTAGCATCTCTTGTTGATAAGCTACTATATGATAAGGCAAATGTGATAGATTAGCTGTCACAGCATCTCTTGTTGATAAGCTACTATATGATAAGGCAAATGTGATAGATTAGCTGTAGCAGCATCTCTTGTTGATAAGCTACTATATGATAAGGCAGATGTGATAGATTAGCTGTCGTAGCATCTCTTGTTGATAAGCTACTATATGATAAGGCAAATGTGATAGATTAGCTGTAGCAGCATCTCTTGTTGATAAGCTACTATATGATAAGGCGGATGTGATAGATTTGCTGTCGTAGCATCTCTTGTTGATAAGCTACTATATGATAAGGCGGATGTGATAGATTAGCTGTCGCAGCATCTCTTGTTGATAAGCTACTATATGATAAGGCGGATGTGATAGATTAGCTGTCGCAGCATCTCTTGTTGATAAGCTACTATATGATAAGGCAGATGTGATAGATTAGCTGTCGCAACATCTCTTGTTGATAAGCTACTATATGATAAGGCAAATGTGATAGATTAGCTGTCGTAGCATCTCTTGTTGATAAGCTACTATATGATAAGGCAAATGTGATAGATTAGCTGTAGCAGCATCTCCTGTTGATAAGCTACTATATGATAAGGCAGATGTGATAGATTAGCTGTCGCAGCATCTCTTGTTGATAAGCTACTATATGATAAGGCAAATGTGATAGATTAGCTGTCGTAGCATCTCTTGTTGATAAGCTACTATATGATAAGGCGGATGTTATAGATTAGCTGTCGCAGCATCTCTTGTTGATAATACAATGCTCTTGGGGAAGAATCTAGACAAATGCCAGAGACAATACTGCAACATAAGAGTCAAAGTTACCTGTACAAATGGTCTAGGGGTGAGGCTACCACAGCCAGGGTGGCCAGCAGGTTAGAGCACTGGTTGTGGATGCTGTAGTGAGGGATCTGGTTGTGGCCTGGATTCAGGTATTGGGAAACTGTGGAGCAAGCCCTCAGTTGATGCTCCGACACACACATCAGGATAGCTGTTATGTCATAGCTGAAATATTTACAACCTGGGTTTAACTACGCAATTTACAATTTTATGGGTGGTGACATGTTAATTTCATAAAGTGATTATAAAGTAATAATGAAATATTGAATGTGCAAAAAGAAAACAATGTCAATAGTTACAAGCAACTACTATGGTGTGGTACAAAAGCATTCAATGAATGAATGAGAGACCAGAAGGATATACTGACACTGTGGAGATGTAGATTTACAGAAGAAAATATCGCACGTTAAGGACATCTAAAATGAAATACAAAGGATTGGCAAAGAGGGCTGATTACAGAAATGAACACCCAAAAAATAAAAAAATAAAATATTTCACCTACAATAAAAGACTTAGCTCTTTTCACAAAACTTAAATTGATGGGGACAAGAAAGCAATGAGTAGACAAAGATCAAGTGGCCAGATAACATCAAGAGATGGATGAACACAGTCTGCCAGATTGTTCAACTAGAGTTAGAGAGGTAGGGAGTGCTTAACCAGGGTTACAGGCAAGAAGTGTTCAACCTGGGTTACAGGCAGGAAGTGTTCAACCAGGGTTACAGGCAGGAAGTGTTCAACCAGGGTTACAGGCAGGAAGCTTTTAACCAGGGTTACAGGCAGAGTGTGTTTAATCAGGGCTACAGGCAGAAAGTGTTCAACTAAGGTTAGAGTCAAAAAGTGTTCAACTACGGTGAGAATCAGATGTTCAACCACGGTTACAGGCAGAAAGTGTTCCACCAGGGTTACAGGTAGGAAGTGTTCAACTGAGTAAGAACAGAATGAAACTGACAGAATGCAAACATAATTGCACATTCTCAGTGCTCAAATGTCATCTGATGAATCATCATAATCATGTCAACTGTCAGCACTTACCGGAACTGCTTGATTCTCCTGAAACTAGGCTTGATTCTAGAGTATCGCTGCATCAGCAACAACAGTGAGTCCTGCAGCAGGGAACTGAACAAAGTCTGAGCTCGTTTCGGAGGAAGCAAAGCCCACATGTCGTTCTGCATGCCTCGCAGATAGAAGTTCCACATCTGAATGGTGAAAGAGCACCTCTCATCCTGGAGACAGAATAATTCTAATGCCAAAGTCTGTTTATTAGTACACAATCTCCATGGCCCCATCCAGCTGTTTGCTCTCCCCCCAACACATGGGAGCTAGTACACATCTCCATGGCCCCATCCAGCTCTCCCCCCAACATATGGGAGCCAGTACACATCTCCATGGCCCCATCCAGCTCTCCCCCCAACACATGGGAGCCAGTACACATCTCCATGGCCCCATCCAGCTCTCCCCCCAACATATGGGAGCTAGTACACATCTCCATGACCCCATCCAGCTGCTTGCTCTCCCCCAACATATGGGAGCTAGTACACATCTCCATGACCCCATCCACCTGCTTGCTTTCCCCCAACATATGGGAGCTAGTACACATCTCCATGACCCCATCCAGCTGCTTGCTTTCCCCCAACACATGGGAGCTAGTACACATCTCCATGACCCCATCCAGCTGTTTGCTCTCCCCCAACATATGGGAGCTAGTACACATCTCCATGACCCTATCCAGCTGTTTGCTCTCCCCCTAACATATGGGAGCTAGTACACATCTCCATGACCCCATACAGCTGCTTGCTCTCCCCCAACACCTGGGAGCTAGTACACATCTCCATGACCCCATCCAGCTGCTTGCTCTCCCCCAACATATGGGAGCTAGTACACATCTCCATGACCCTATCCAGCTGTTTGCTCTCCCCCAACATATGGGAGCTAGTACATATCTCCATGACCCCATCCACCTGCTTGCTCTCCCCCAACATATGGGAGCTAGTACACATCTCCACGACCCTATCCAGCTGTTTGCTCTCCCCCAACATATGGGAGCTAGTACACATCTCCATGACCCCATACAGCTGCTTGCTCTCCCCCAACATATGGGAGCTGTACACATCTCCATGACCCCATCCAGCTGCTTGCTCTATCCCAACATATGGGAGCTAGTACACATCTCCATGACCCCATCCAGCTGTTTGCTCTCCCCCAACACATGGGAGCTAGTACACATCTCCATGGCGTCCATCCAGCTGCTTGATCTCCCCCAACATATGGGATCTAGTACACATCTCCATGACCCCATCCAGCTGCTTGCTCTCCCCCAACATATGGGAGCTAGTACACATCTCCATGACCCCATCCAGCTGCTTGCTCTCCCCCAACACCTGGGAGCTAGTACACATCTCCATGACCCCATCCAGCTGCTTGCTCTCCCCTAACATATGGGATCTAGTACACATCTCCATGACCCCATCCAGCTGCTTGCTCTCCCCCAACATATGGGAGCTAGTACACATCTCCATGACCCCATCCAGCTGCTTGCTCTCCCCCAACACCTGGGAGCTAGTACACATCTCCATGACCCCATCCAGCTGCTTGCTCTCCCCCCCCCCCCCAACATATGGGAGCTAGTACACATCTCCATGACCCCATCCAGCTGCTTGCTCTCCTCCAACATATGGGAGCTAGTACACATCTCCATGACCCCATCCAGCTGCTTGCTCTCCCCCCAACATATGGGAGCTAGTACACATCTCCATGACCCCATCCAGCTGCTTGCTCTCCCCCAACATATAGGAGCTAGTACACATCTCCATGACCCCATCCAGCTGCTTGCTCTCCCCCAACACATGGGAGCTAGTACACATCTCCATGGCCCCCATCCAGCTGCTTGCTCTCCCCCAACATATGGGATCTAGTACACATCTCCATGACCCCATCCAGCTGCTTGCTCTCCCCCAACATATGGGAGCTAGTACACATCTCCATGACCCCATCCACATGCTTGATCTCCCCCAACACATGGGAGCTAGTACACATCTCCATGGCCCCATCCAGCTACTTGATCTCCCCCAACATATGGGATCTAGTACACATCTCCGGGACCCCATCCAGCTGTTTGCTCTCCCCCAACATATGGGAGCTAGTACACATCTCCATGACCCCATCTAGCTGCTTGATCTCTCCAACACATGGGAGCTAGTACACATCTCCATGACCCCATCCACCTGCTTGATCTCCCCCAACACATGGGAGCTAGCACACATCTCCATGACCCCATCCAGCTGCTTGCTCTCCCCCCAACACATGGAAGCTGGTACACATCTCCATGACCCCATCCAGCTGTTTGCTATCCCCCCAACACATGGGAGCAGGTACACATCTCCATGACCCCATCCAGCTGCTTGTTCTCCCCCAACATATGGGAGCTAGTACACATCTCCATGACCCCATCCAGCTGCTTGTTCTCCCCCAACATATGGGAGCTAGTACACATCTCCATGACCCCATCCAGCTGCTTGATCTCCCGAAACATGGAGGAGCTAGTACACATCTCCATGACCCCATCCAGGTGTTTAATCTCCCCCTAACACATGGGAGCTAGTACACATCTCCATGACCCCATCCACCTGTTTGCTCTCCTCCCAAAATATGGGAGCTAGTAAACATCTCCATGACCTCATCCAGCTGCTTGATCTCCCCCAACACATGGGAGCTAGTACACATCTCCATGACCCCATCCAGCTGCTTGATCTCCCCCAACACATGGGATCTAGTACACATCTCCATGACCCCATCCAGCTGTTTGCTCTCCCCCCAACACATAGGAGCTAGTACACATCTCCGTGACCCCATCCAGCTGCTTGATCTCCCCCAACACCTGGGAGCTAGTACACATCTCCATGACCCCATCAAGCTGTTTGCTCTCCCCCCAACACATGGGAGCTAGTACACATCTCTGTGACCCCATCCAGCTGCTTGATCTCCCCCAACATATGGGAGCTAGTACACATATCCATGACCCCATCCACCTCTTTGCTCTCCCCCAACATATGGGAGCTAGTACACATCTCCATGACCCCATCTCTCTGCTTGATCTCCCCCAACATATGGGAGCTAGTACAAATCCCCATGACCCCATCCAGCTGCTTGATCTCCCCCAACACATAGGAGCTAGTACACATCTCCATGACCCCATCCAGCTGCTTGATCTCCCCCAACACATAGGAGCTAGTACACATCTCCATGACCCCATCCAGCTGCTTGATCTCCCCCAACACATGGAAGCTGGTACACATCTCCATGACCCCATCCAGCTGTTTGCTCTCCCCCCAACACATGGGAGCTAGTACACATCGCCATGACCCCATCCAGCTGTTTGCTCTCCCCCAACATATGGGAGCTAGTACACATCTCCATGACCCCATCCAGCTGCTTGATCTCCCCCAACATATGGGAGCTAGTACACATCTCCATGATCCCATCCAGCTGCATGATCTCCCCCAACACATAGGAGCTGGTACACATCTCCATGACCCCATCCACCTGCTTGCTCTCCCCCCAACATACGGGAGCTATTACACATCTCCATGACCCCATCCAGCTGCTTGATCTCCCCCAACACATGGGAGCTAGTACATATCTCCATGACCCCATCCAGCTGCTTGCTTTCCCCCCCCCCAACATATGGGAGCTAGTACACATCTCTATGACCCCATCAAGCTGTTTGCTCTCCCCGCAACACATGGGAGCTAGTACACATCTCCATGACCCCATCCAGCTGCTTGCTCTCCCCCAACATATGGGAGCTGGTACACATCTCCATGACCCCATCCAGCTGCTTGCTCTCCCCCAACATATGGGAGCTGGTACACATCTCCATGACCCCATCCAGCTGTTTGCTCTCCCCCAACACCTGGGAGCTAGTACACATCTCCATGGCCCCCATCCAGCTGCTTGATCTCCCCCAACATATGAGAGCTAGTACACATCTCCATGACCCCATCCAGCTGCTTGATCTCCCCCAACATATGGGAGCTAGTACACATCTCCATGGCCCCCATCCAGCTGCTTGATCTCCCCCAACACATGGGAGCTAGTACACATCTCCATGACCCCATCAAGCTGTTTGCTCTGCCCCCAACACATGGGAGCTAGTAAACATCTCCCCAGAACCCCCACAGGAAGATTGAGAATCAGACACTGAGACTGCTCTAACAGCTCAGGTAACTTACAGCTAAATCAAAGTGGCAATGATTGGTACTTCTTTTACAGCTAACTCAAAGTGGCAATGACTGTTACATCTGTTACAGCTAACTCAAAGTGGCAATGATTGGTACTTATGTTACAGCTAACTCAAAGTGGCAATGATTGGTATGTCTGTTACAGCTAACTCAAAGTCACAATGATTGGTACATCTGTTACAGCTAACTCAAAGTGGCAATGATTGGTACTTCTGTTACTGCTAACTCAAAGTGGCAATGATTGATACTAATGTTACAGCTAACTCAAAGTGGCAATGATTGGTATACCTGTTACAGCTAACTCAAAGTGGCAATGATTGGTACATCTGTTACAGCTAACTCAAAGTGGCAATGATTGGTACTTCTGTTACAGCTAACTCAAAGTGACAATGATTGGTACGTCTGTTACAGCTAACTCAAAGTGGCAATGACTGGTACTTATGCTACAGCCAACTTAAAGTGGCAATGATTGGTACATCTGTTACAGCTAACTCAAAGTAGCAATGATTGGTACATCTGTTACAGCTAACTCAAAGTGGCAATGATTGGTACGTCTGTTACAGCTAACTCAAAATGGCAATGATTGGTACTTATGCTACAGCTAACTCAAAGTAGCAATGATTGGTACGTCTGTTACAGCTAACTCAAAGTAGCAATGACTGGTACGTCTGTTACAGCTAACTCAAAGTGGCAATGATTGGTACATCTGTTACAGCTAACTCAAAGTAGCAATGATTGGTACATCTGTTACAGCTAACTCAAAGTAGCAATGATTGATACATCTGTTACAGCTAACTCAAAGTGGCAATGACTGGTACATCTGTTACAGCCCACTCAAAGTGGCAATGATTGGTACATCTGCTACAGCTAACTCAAAGTAGCAATGACTGGTATGTCTGTTACAGCTAACTCAAAGTAGCAATGACTGGTACGTCTGTTACAGCCCACTCAAAGTGGCAATGATTGATACTTATGTTACAGCTAACTCAAAGTGGCAATGATTGGTACTTATGTTACAGCTAACTCAAAGTGGCAATGATTGGTACGTCTGTTACAGCTAACTCAAAATGGCAATGATTGGTACTTATGCTACAGCCAACTCAAAGTGGCAATGATTGGTACGTCTGTTACAGCCAACTCAAAGTGGCAATGATTGGTACTTATGTTACATCTAACTCAAAGTGGCAATGATTGGTACTTATGTTACAGCTAACTCAAAGTGGCAATGTTTGGTACGTCTGTTACAGCTAACTCAAAGAGGCAATGATTGGTACTTCTGTTACAGATAACTCAAAGTGGCAATGATTGGTACGTCTGTTACAGCTAACTCGAAGTGGCAATGATTGGTACGTCTGTTACAGCTAACTCAAAGGGTTAATGACTGGTACGTTTGTAACAGCTAACTCAAAGTGGCAATGATTGGTACGTCTGTTACAGCTAACTTAAAGTGGCAATGACTGGTACGTCTGTTACAGCTAACTCGAAGTGGCAATGATTGGTACTTCTGTTACAGCCAACTCAAAGTGGCAATGATTGGTACCTATGTTACAGCTAACTCAAAGTGGCAATGATTGGTACTTATGTTACAGCTAACTCAAAGTAGCAATGACTGGTACGTCTGTTACAGCTAACTTAAAGTGGCAATGACTGGTACGTCTGTTACAGCTAACTCAAAGTGGCAATGATTGGTACATCTGTTACAGCTAAGTCAAAGTGGCAATGACTGGTATGTCTGTTACAGCTAACTCAAAGTGGCAATGATTGGTACGTCTGTTACAGCTAACTAAAAGTGGCAATGACTTGTACTTCTGTCAGTGCTAACTTAAAGTGGCAATGATTGGTACTTCTGTTACAGCTAACTCTAAGTGGCAATGATTGGTACTTCTGTTACAGCTAACTCAAAGTGGCAATGATTGGTACATCTGTTACAGCTAACTAAAAGTGGCAATGATTGGTACGTCTGTTACAGCTAACTAAAAGTGGCAATGATTGGTACATCTGTTACAGCTAACTAAAAGTGGCAATGATTGGTACGTCTGTTACAGCTAACTAAAAGTGGCAATGACTTGTACTTCTGTCAGAGCTAACTTAAAGTGGCAATGATTGGTACTTCTGGTACAGCTAACTCTAAGTGGCAATGATTGGTACTTATGTAACAGCTAACCCAAAGTGGCAATAATTGGTACTTTTGTTCCTAAACATTTGAGAACACTTCTAAGAATATTGTGAATCTAAGAAGAAAAACGCTGACATACAACAAAATGGGAACATCAAGGATCATGTATAGCATTATGTCTCAGGAAGTGAAATACTTTAGTCAGATGATTTAATGTCACAGTGGTTTAGTAACTGACATTTATGGAGGGCATTATAATGGACAAACAGGCAGAGGTTGACAAAATACAACAGTAGACACAAGACATGAAATACCTTATGGACATGTAAAATGCAGGAGAAAGGAAAGGTGTATAATTATCAAGATATTCTGCAATGGGAATTATTCTTTTACAGAAAGGTATCAACTGCACTAAGGAAAATAGCAGGAAAGTGCTATAACAGGTGACCACTGTGGTGTGCATGTAAAACATGGACAATAAGTAAGTAAACTGAAAAATAAAAACTCTGATGGCAGCAGAAAGGAGCTTTCTAAGGAAAGTGAAAATATCATGGACAGAAACAAGAAGACCATTCTAGGTATAACATATCAGTATCTATTTCCGAACTATGCTGTGAGTGACTGTCGTAAAGAAAAAGTTTGCAAAGCTGCCAGTACAGCCTCCACCTCCAATCTGATGCTGGAAGTTATGATATCGTATGCCTAAAGGGTTGTTCTAGGAAAGCAGTTTGAGGATCTCTGTTATGACGGAACGAGCTCGGCCTTTTACCTCATGAAAATCCTTGAGATCGGACCAGCTGCCACTGTCAGCATCACTGAGAACAGATATGGAGACCAGCTGGTTGTGCAGCTGTAGCAGATGCTTGCCCAGACCATCCACCAGCTCTGTGTACTGCTTCAGCAGGCTGCACATAAACTTTTTCCTGTGCCACAACAGCAAAGACAACTGATGTTACAACTGATGTTACAACTGATGTTACAACTGATGTTACAACAGATATTACAGGTAAAAACTTAATATTGATGGAAATATCTGACATAGAAAAATCACTAACAACACAACCTCTTCCTCCACCTCTTCTTCTCTTGGCTCTTTTTCTTCTTCTCTTGGCTATTCTTATTCTTCTTCATCATTCTCTTTTTCTTCATGTTCTTCTTCTTCTTGATCTGTTACATCTCTATCTTCTATTTCACACTTGATGGAAGCTGTAGAGAGCAGATTCCTGGCATTGTTGACACTTTAGTCAGAACACTGATTGATGAAAACACAGACGAAGGTGATGCTGTAGTTTACACAGATGGGTCAGTAATTAGGGGCAAGCGAAGTGCATGGGCCTTCACAGTAAGCTCAAGGGGGAAAACCATCAAGGAGATGAATGGCGCCTTTGCTGTTAAAACTAGTAGCCTCACAATGGAAACTATGGCTGTAACAAGAGCTTTAGCTTGGCTTGGTACTCAAAAGTTCACAGATGCATGCTTTCTTAGTGACTCGAATATTCTTTACAAAATCCAAGCTGGATTTATCAGGCAAGAATGGATGGAAACACTAAGCACTTCATGAATATCTGCCCTAACCTTTACCATTGTGCCAGGTCATGTGGGTGTTCAAGGGAACGAGCATGCAGACTATCTTGCTGAAACTGCAGTTGCTATGGCTGGATCAGTACTGGACAGAAGTGATCTTATCAATGCTATGTGCTGCACCTACCGTACCGAGGAGCACGCCAAAGGATATGACTCCATATCCCTGTTTAGACTGATGGACATGGGGGTGCATCCTGGAACTACAAGAAATGAACATTACACTAAAAGGCTAAGACGTTTCACCAACCAACACAGAACAGGTGTCATTAGTCGTTTTACACTTGTGGAGCTTTTGAGAAGGAGATCAGAGAACCTATGGATCTTCGGGATTGCTGTGATAATAATACTTTCTAACCACTAATCACTAGTCTCTATATTCACCCTTTTTATTCTTGCTCTGCATTTATTCCTCCCATTCTCCATGTCCTTCTTTTTTGTTCTTCTTCTGTTTATTCTTGTGCTGCTTTTTCTTATTTTCCTCTTCCTTATTATTTTCCTCTTCCTTATTATTTTCCTCTTCCTTGTTATTTTCTATTCTGCTTATGAATAACACAGAGGCAGTCTTTACTAAATGAAAGAGGAGTGGTTAAAAAGATTGCATGTAAGGATGCATGCTACCCGATTAGTGACCATTAGAAAATCAAGTTTAGTTGATTAGTTCCAGTTTGGTGACCCTGACCACTTCTGCCAGGAAGCATGCCTTCCATTACTGTTCATTGCAATTTGCTGCCAGTTCCACACAGCTACAGTTATAATATTTGGGACACAGAAGCAACACATGGAGTCAGCTTTAAATAACAATAAGTGAGTGACAGGAATGATCTAGAGAAAGTGCTCCTCAAAACAAATATTGCAGACACTGAGTGCCTCACTGATTTCTATAGGCAACAACTATGGGCAGGATATGCCACAGCAGACAGACCTGGGAATCTACCATGCAGAGCCAGCCAGCTGAGTTTAGGAAGCAACTTCCCTCAGTTAAGCATTGCTGTAACAGGCACACAACTCCACAAGAAATGGTCACCAGTGTGGGCCACTCACTAGCATTACTGAGTAAATACATAACTGGTTAAGAAAGATTTGGGATGAAGACTACAGGACTGAGGCTGTGTGTTCAGCCCCGTTTACAACAAAGGGACGTACGATTATGGATCCATGTACTACAAAAAAGGGACTGAGATCATGTGTCATTGTAAAGTTAACAGTAAAGCGACACAAGAATATGGGTCTATGTCCTTGTCCTGTCTACAACCAAAGGACCTGTGATTATGTGTCCTTTCCTGTCTACAACAGAGAGACACAAAACTGAGTCCATGTGTTTTTTTTACAAGAGAGAGATATAAGACTGTGTGTCCATGTGTGTTGTTTACAAGAGAGAGATATAAGACTGTGTGTTCATGTGTTGTTTACAAGAGAGAGATATAGGGCTGTGTGTCCATGTGTTGTTTACAAGAGAAAGATATGAGACTGTGTGTCCTTGTTTACAAGACAGAGATAAAGGACTGTGTGTCCATGTGTTGTTTACAAGAGAGAGATATAAGACTGTGTGTCCATGTGTGTTGTTTACAAGAGAGAGATATAAGACTGTGTGTCCATGTGTTGTTTACAAGAGAAAGATATGAGACTGTGTGTCCTTGTTTACAAGAGGGAGATAAAGGACTGTGTGTCCATGTGTTGTTTACAAGAGAGAGATATAAGACTGTGTGTCCATGTGTTGTTTACAATAGAGAGATATAGGACTGTGTGTCCATGTGTTGTTTACAAGAGAGAGATATAAGACTGTGTGTCCTTGTGTTGTTTACAAGAGAGAGATATAAGACTGTGTGTCCATGTGTTGTTTACAAGAGAGGGACATAAGACTGTGTGTCCATGTGTTGTTTACAAGAGAGAGATATAAGACTGTGTGTCCATGTGTTGTTTACAAGAGAGAGATATAAGACTGTGTGTCCATGTGTTGTTTACAAGAGAGAGATATGAGACTGTGTGTCCTTGTGTTGTTTACAAGAGAGAGATATAAGACTGTGTGTCCATGTGTTGTTTACAAGAGAGAGATATAAGACTGTGTGTCCATGTGTTGTTTACAAGAGAGAGATATAAGACTGTGTGTCCATGTGTTGTTTACAAGAGAGAGATATAAGACTGTGTGTCCATGTGTTGTTTACAAGAGAGAGATATAAGACTGTGTGTCCACGTGTTGTTTACAAGAGAGAGATATAAGACTGTGTGTCCATGTGTTGTTTACAAGAGAGAGATATAAGACTGTGTGTCCATGTGTTGTTTACAAGAGAGAGATATAAGACTGTGTGTCCATGTGTTGTTTACAAGAGAGAGATATAAGACTGTATGTCCTTGTGTTGTTTACAAGAGAGAGATATAAGACTGTGTGTCCTTGTGTTGTTTACAAGAGAGAGATATAAGACTGTGTGTCCATGTGTTGTTTATAAGAGAGAGATATAAGACTGTGTGTCCATGTGTTGTTTACAAGAGAGAGATATGAGACTGTGTGTCCAAGTGTTGTTTACAAGAGAGAGATATAACACTGTGTGTCCATGTGTTGTTTAAAAACGAGAGATATGAGACTGTGTGTCCAAGTGTTGTTTACAAGAGAGAGATATAAGACTGTGTGTCCATGTGTTGTTTACAAGAGAGAGATATAAGACTGTGTGTCCATGTGTTGTTTACAAGAGAGAGATATAAGACTGTGTGTCCATGTGTTGTTTACAAGAGAGAGATATGAGACTGTGTGTCCTTGTTTACAAGAGAGAGATATAAGACTGTGTGTCCAAGTGTTGTTTACAAGAGAGAGATATAAGACTGTGTGTCCATGTGTTGTTTACAAGAGAGAGATATGAGACTGTGTGTCCTTGTTTACAAGAGAGAGATATGAGACTGTGTGTCCATGTGTTGTTTACAAGAGAGAGATATAAGACTGTGTGTCCTTGTGTTGTTTACAAGAGAGAGATATAAGACTGTGTGTCCATGTGTGTTGTTTACAAGAGAGAGATATGAGACTGTGTGTCCATGTGTTGTTTACAAGAGAGAGATATGAGACTGTGTGTCCTTGTTTACAAGAGAGAGATATAAGACTGTGTGTCCTTGTTTACAAGAGAGAGATATAAGACTGTGTGTCCTTGTTTACAAGAGAGAGATATAAGACTGTGTGTCCTTGTTTACAAGAGAGAGATATAAGACTGTGTGTCCTTGTTTACAAGACAGAGATAAAGGACTGTGTGTCCATGTGTTGTTTACAAGAGAGAGATATGAGACTGTGTGTCCTTGTTTACAAGAGAGAGATATAAGACTGTGTGTCCATGTGTTGTTTACAAGAGAGAGATATAAGACTGTGTGTCCATGTGTTGTTTACAAGAGAGAGATATAAGACTGTGTGTCCTTGTTTACAAGAGAGAGATATAAGACTGTGTGTCCATGTGTTGTTTACAAGAGAGAGATATAAGACTGTGTGTCCTTGTTTACAAGAGAGAGATATAAGACTGTGTGTCCTTGTTTACAAGAGAGAGATATAAGACTGTGTGTCCTTGTTTACAAGAGAGAGATATAAGACTGTGTGTCCATGTGTTGTTTACAAGAGAGAGATATAAGACTGTGTGTCCATGTGTTGTTTACAAGAGAGAGATATAAGACTGTGTGTCCTTGTTTACAAGAGAGAGATATAAGACTGTGTGTCCTTGTTTACAAGACAGAGATAAAGGACTGTGTGTCCATGTGTTGTTTACAAGAGAGAGATATGAGACTGTGTGTCCTTGTTTACAAGAGAGAGATATAAGACTGTGTGTCCATGTGTTGTTTACAAGAGAGAGATATAAGACTGTGTGTCCATGTGTTGTTTACAAGAGAGAGATATAAGACTGTGTGTCCATGTGTTGTTTACAAGAGAGAGATATAAGACTGTGTGTCCATGTGTTGTTTACAAGAGAGAGATATAAGACTGTGTGTCCATGTGTTGTTTACAAGAGGGAGATATAGGACTGTGTGTCCAAGTGTTGTTTACAAGAGAGAGATATAAGACTGTGTGTTCTTGTTTACAAGAGAGAGATATAAGACTGTGTGTCCATGTGTTGTTTAAAAACGAGAGATATAAGACTGTGTGTCCTTGTGTTGTTTACAAGAGAGAGATATAAGACTGTGTGTCCATGTGTTGTTTAATAGAGAGAGATATAAGACTGTGTGTCCATGTGTTGTTTAAAAGAGAGAGATATAAGACTGTGTGTCCATGTGTTGTTTACAAGAGAGAGCAATAAGACTGTGTCCATGTGTTGTTTACAAGAGAGAGATATAAGATTGTGTGTCCATGTGTTGTTTACAAGAGAGAGATATAAGACTGTGTGTCCAAGTGTTGTTTACAAGAGAGAGATATAAGACTGTGTGTCCATGTGTTGTTTACAAGAGAGAGATATAAGACTGTGTGTCCATGTGTTGTTTACAAGAGAGAGATATAAGACTGTGTGTCCATGTCCTGTGACCTTGTACTGTTTACAAAAGAGGAACAAGAGACCAGGAAGACACCCAAAAACACTCACCCGTTGTCTTCGGTGGACAGGACGGTCTCCACATGCTGCAGGTAATTCCTGATGAGCATGGCATTTGAGATGATGATCAGAAGCTGCTTGAGGCTGGCCTTGTGGGGTATGTCCTTGCTTAACTTGAAGGAAGACAAGACAACAGCAGTCAGTCTACTGATGTACCTACCACTGGATCCAACAACTAGTGATGTCTACAAATGTTTACTTGTGTGTCTGTCCTAAACATTTCAGAATACTGGACTTTCAGGTGGGAGACGAGGCCTGAATGCACACAGTGAGTTTAGAGATTCTGGGAGTTGAGGTCTGAATGCACACAGTGAGTTTAGAGATTCTGGGAGTTGAGGTCTGAATGCACACAGTGAGTTTAGAGATTCTGGGAGTTGAGGTCTGAATGCACACAGTAAGTTTAGAGATTCTGGGAGTTGAGGTCTGAATGCACCACAGTGAGTTTAGAATTCTGGGAGACATACACAGTGAGTTTAGAGATTCTGGGAGACGAGGTCTGAATGCACACAGTGAGTTTAGAGATTCTGGGAGGTCTGACGTGAGGTCTGAATGAATGCACACAGTAAGTTTAGAGATTCTGGGAGTTGAGGTCTGAATGGTAAGTTTAGAAGATTCTGAATGGTCACATACAGTGAGTTTAGAGATTCTGGGAGACGAGGTCTGAATGCACACAGTGAGTTTAGAGATTCTGGGAGACGAGGTCTGAATGCACACAGTGAGTTTAGAGATTCTGGGAGACGAGGTCTGAATGCACACAGTGAGTTTAGAGATTCTGGGGAGACGAGGTCTAATGCACACAGTAAGTTTTAGAGATTCTGGGAGTTTGAGGTCTGAATGCACACAGTGAGTTTAGAGATTCTGGGAGACGAGGCCTGAATGCACACAGTAAGTTTAGAGATTCTGGGAGAGGTCTGAATGCAACACAGTAAGTCTGAATGCTGGGAGACGAGTCTGAATGCACACAAGTGAGTTTAGAGATTCTGGGAGACGAGGTCTGAATGCACACAGTAAGTTTAGAGATTCTGGGAGACGAGGTGCACACAGTGGTTAGAGATTCTGAATGC